GATCGCGAGACTCTATTTTAATGCAAACGCCGCAACAAATACAAACACAAATGCCGTGAAACGAAAAATTATAAAACAATAAATTACTTTTACTTATATTTCCAACTTCTCCGTTCCTTTACTTTTTACGTTGTAGTTCTTCTTCTTCACTTGCCGCTTGATCGGACCTTCAGAAAATAGAGTCCCGCGGTCACTTCCGTTGTGGCTTTTTACTGTGTTGTGGCTTTTTAATGTGTTGTGGATTTTTACTGTGTTGTGGCTTTTTAATGTGTTGTGGCATTTGCGTTTGTGTTGTGGTGTTTGTATTTGCTGCGGCGTTTCCATTAAAATCGAGTCCCGCGGTCATTTCCGTTGTGGCTTTTTTTGGTTTGTTGTGGCTTTTTGTTGTGTTGTCGCATTTGTATTTGTTGCGGCGTTTGCGTTTGTTGTGACCCCTCTCGGCTTCCGTACCAAAGCACTCAAAAAAACCTTTAATAATCAAGGGTGCACTTATGTTAATCGTATGGATTTGTTATTGATTATTGATTGTTAATTCACTTAGGACAAGGATGAATGATGTTGGCTGCTTTTAAATCGGATTAGGTGAACCCCCCTGCTGATGCAATGTACACATAGGCTCCAATGTTAATATGTGTACAGCTGGAAGAGTAACAATATACTCTTACAACATTGCGTATTTGTTAATGGTTTTCTATCTGTGTTGAACTCTGCTTAAAGAACCCATTTTACTCTGTTTTCTGATCTGTGTTATAATGTTGTTTCCTCATCATGAACATAACTAGAGTTGTCAGATGAAGAAAAGAGGTAGAGCTCTTCACTGGGTCATAAAAAAGTTAAAAGAAAATAGCAGTACAGGTGCTTTACGAGGGTTAAACTAGTAATCTTAACAGAAGAATACCCTTACTGAAAAATGTAAAAGTAGGCATGGTACAAACCCGAGGCACTCCGACTGAATATATTAAAAGTTTTTTATTACATGTAGAGACGCCAACGCTTTTCGTTCAGCAAGATGGTGTTTGTCAGGGCGTAATAGTTCTGGAGTTGTGCTTTTGTTTCATTCTCACATGTTTCACACATAAACCCTGCATATTTAGGATGAGTTCTGCTCTTAAATCGAAAACACTCTGTTCCACCTTGTGATGTCGTGTGGTAATACAGGAAGAGCTTCACTGTGTTTTTTAAACTCCGTACACTTTCACTAGAACTGCCTAGTGTCCAAACGTCTTTCAACATGGCCCACTTATTAAAACACATATGAAGTTTAGGTCCGACTGAGGGCCAGTGGGTGGTAGACTGGTGCCTAATACAGTGAAAAATTTGAAATATGTGTATTTATAACACGCTAGAATGAGTCACTCGACCTTTATTCATGCTTTAATCATCCACTATTTTTAGGACTTGAGGCTTGACTTGAAAACATAGACTAAGACTTGGAACTCGACTTGGACGTGAAGATCAATGACTTGAGACTCGGACTTTAGGCCTGTGACTTGAGAAGACTTGAGAAACACTTTTAAATCTGAATTCTTTCAATTCTGACCATAATGATTCATACTAAGATCTTGTCAAGACATTTAAAAAGGAAAAATGTACTAAATTCATTTCTACAACTCTTATATAAATACTCATATATAAATATACTATGACTTTCAAAGTACAATTTATCTTAAAATTCATATAAATTGCAAAAATCTAAGCTATATTTGGTACTTTGACTTAAAGACTTGAAGCTCAAACCAGATGACTTGGACTTGACTTTTATGGGCCAGTGACTCGAGACTTGACTTGGACTTGCCTGTATTTGACTTGGGACTTGACTCGGGCTTAAGGTCAAAGCCTTGACACTTACTTGAGACTTGCAAAACAGCGACTCTGGTAAAAAGTTCTGCTGACAGTAACATGCACCTGGAAGCCTGAGGGCCAAGATACACTGGTTTGGATGCCATAGTTTTGGACATGAATCATTTGGATTTGCCTGATCATTTCACTGAACAAAAGGTAACCTGAAAACTACCACTTCATGACATCACAAAGTGGAACAAAGCATTTTAAGATTTGGAAAATGCAAACAGACTAATAATAAAGTGTGAGAATGAACCAAAACACAACTCCAGGTTATGAGGTAAAACAAATCATGGGTTAAAGCTCACAAGAGTCAATTTTGTGATCTAACAGAAATAATCAGTGACAAAAAAGAGGAAGAAATACATACATGCACACATCGTAAGACACAAACAGTCCTTATAAAAATAGATGTAATTGTCCCCAGAGAGAAATGTAGAAATGCAGACAGATCAGACTGAGGAATCCATCTCTCAACTCTTTTACTTTTGTAACTACAGTCTCCAGTGCGTTTCTCCATATCATTTATTTTGTTTTTATATTTAATAATAGCAAAAACTGCACCAGCCAAGTTAAGGGTGCGTTCACACTTGCACACAGACCACAGCAAAAGGAGGACTCACGCTGAGACTAAACCAGGGCTTAATCATGACCAGAACAGGACCAAACCAGGACTGGACCAGGACTATACCAAGGCTAAACCAGGACTAAACCAGGGCTAGAACAGGACTAGGATTAAACTAGACCAGGGCTAAACCATGAATAGGCCAAGACTAAACCAGGACTAGACAAAGACTAAACCAAGACAAAACCAGGACCAGCACAAGAGTAGACTAAATCAGGACTAAAACAAGAGTAGACCAGGACTAAGCCAGGATTAAACCAAGACTAGACCAAAGATAAACTAGGACCATTCCAGGACTAAACCAGGACTAGAACAAGAGTAGACCAGGACTAAACCAGGACTAAAATAAACTAAACCAAGATTAAACTAGGAACGTTCCAGGGCTAAACCAAGACTAGACCAAGGCTTGACCAGGACCATCCAGGACTAAACCAGGACTAGTATAAGACTAAACCAAGACTAAACCAGGACTAAAACAAGAGTAGACCAGGACTAATCCAGGACTAAAATAAGACTAGTCAAACATGAAACCAAAACCATTCCAGGGCTAAACCAGTACTAGACCAGGACTGAACCAGGAGTAAAACAAAACTAGACCAAGACTAAATGAGGACTATTACAAACCATTACAAACTAAACCATTTCAAGAACAGGACGAAACTAGGACTGGACCAGGATTACACCATGACCATTCCAGGGCTAAACCAGGACTAGTATAAGAGTAAACCAAGACTAAACCAAGACTACACCAAGACTAAACCAAGACTAAACCAAGACTAAACCAGGACTAAAACAAGAGTAGACCAGGACTAAAACAAGAGAAGACAAGGAGTAAAACTAGACTAAACCAAGACTGAAACAAGACTAAAACAAGAGTAGACCAGGACTAATCCAGGACTAAAACAAGCCTTGTCAAAGATGAAACCAAAACCATTCCAGGACCAAACCAGGAGCAGAACAGGACCAAACCAAGTCCACACCGGGATTAATGTTCTCAAAACGTATGAACACATGCACCCTTCAACTCGGTATAAATCAAAACATGCACAACCAACATTTTTCAATCCTATGGGAGAAAGAAAAAGAACATTCCAAATGGACACTGGCATTCCCACAAACACATGCATAATTGAACACACGGGCAGACAGAGCTCACTGATTTGTGTTCCTGTCATTCAGCTCTGGTCATGGGAGTAATCTGACTTCATGTTTTTTCTCTTATATTCACTCACAGTACCACAGTGTCGAAAAGCCGCCTTCAGGCCACAAACGCTGAAGCCATTAATAAAGACGATGAAAATAAGAATGGCACACACATAATTAGTTTTGGTCATTTTGGTTTGATTATTTGTGTAATGTATCACTGATGAGTAAATGGGTTTGAGACTGTGATTTGATTTAATTGGGTTAATTGGGATTTTGAATTAGGCACGGCATTTTGTGGTTGAATAAATCATTAATTTTAACACCAAATCTAAACCAAGACTAAAACAAAACTAGACCAAGAGTAAACCAGGACCTTTCCATGACTAAATCAAGACTAAATTAAGACTAAACCAGGATTAAAACAAGAGGAAACCAAGACTAAACCAGGACCATTTCAGGGACTAAACCAAGACTAAACCAAGTCTAAACCAGGACCATTTCACGGACTAAACCAAGACTAAATCAAGACTAAACCAAGACTAAACCAGGATTAAAACAAGAGGAAACCAAGACTAAACCAGGACCATTCCAGGGCTAAACCAAGACTAGACCCGGACCATTCCAGAACTAAACCATGACAAGAACAGGACCAAACCAGGACTGGACCAGGACTACACCATGACCAAACCAGGGCTAGACAAAGATTAAACCAGGACTAAAACAAGAGTAGGTAGACCAGGACTAAACAAGGACTAGACCAAGGCTAAACCAGGACCATTCCAGGACTAGAACAAGACTAAACCAGGACTAAACTAGGACTAAACCAAGACTAAATAATTAATTTTAACACCAAATGTCAATTCAAATAGTTTGAAATACTCATACTACAAACAATTTACAGAATCGTTCACATTTTTTGGAAGTAAAATGTAAAATTGTAAGTTTTTGAACATGAAAGCTTCTCTCTCATCCATCACCATAAGACATTTGGGGAAATGCTGTTCCCTTTTGTATTAACAGAGACGGTCTTTATACCCAGTGATATGAACGAGTGGAAATGAATAGCACAATTTCTAAGCCTTTTCTAAAGCCTACTAACTTGGTGTTGACATAACAGTTGCCATAACAATGACCTGATGGTGGATTTGGTGTAAACGGAAGGAACACACTGTAATAATGATGAACAACGCACGCGTAATGTTAGCACAACATGTAAGCCTACGTAGATGTATTAAATTTCACAGTAGATTCAGCTTTTAGTCTGGCTGTTTCAAAATTTTATGGCAAATTACTTTCTACAAAATCTTCTAAAACCTATTGAAAGATTAGTAACTTGGTAGAGACGATGGAGCACAAACTGAGTCTTTTACGCACAATACATTCCTACCTGTGTTCCTCCACGGTGTTCCTCTTCGCCGTGTCCCAGTCCGGTAAAGTGCTGGCACAAAGCATAACCATAGAAAGAATGACAAAAATCACAGAGATAGTCGCTAAAAGCTGCGCCGCGACAGACGAGTTGGGCTCCTCAAATGTTTTTCGCATCTTTTCCATCCATCTGGCGCGGCCGGTGAGCTCTGCCTCCCCCGGACTCTGTGGCTCTTCTTCGTCCGCGGACAAAGTGTCCAGTCCGATCTCTGACATGCGGTCATCCAGGCGCTTCTGGCAGCACGAGTCCAGATGCGCGCTCTCCAAACCCCAGTAGAGCATCTCGGAGTAAAAGGAGAGCTCACAGACCCCGGGCACGAAGCGGAGTTTACCGGAGCGCACGTACAGCATGATGAACACGAAAGCCTGCGCGTGACGGTCAAAGAAAAACTCATTTCGGTCCCGGTCGTAGTCATCACAGAGCTCGAGGACTTCTTTCTCGGTGACGCACGCGTGCAAACGGCTCACGCGCCTCAGAGGGAAATCCCTAATCACTTCGCGGGTGAAGGCGTAACGGGTTCCCCCCACGTTCAGTACGCACACGCTCTTCCCGAACTTCATCATTCAACCTGTGGCTCAGCAAGACTCTTCCCTCGCGCGTGAAGCCATCCTTGGTTTTGGTTCAGTATCTGGTCCAGTTTTGAGGTCTTAATCCGGGTTTGAGGCTTGTGTTTCGGGGTGTGGTTCGTCGCTTCAAACGGGACCGTCCACGCGCTGCTCTCTGCCGCTGATGTGAACTCCTCTTCTGCCTCTGAAGTCTGAGGAGGCTCCCTCTGAACACAGGGCGAGCCCGGCCCCTCGCTGATGTCACACACGCGCACACAACACACTCACGCACGCGGATGCAGGGAGGCGCTGATGGAGAGAGATGCGCTTTTTACGCACGGCTGGCACAGCGCTACCAAAGTGAGAGATGGCCGTGCCACGATGGAAATCCGTGGAACCACAGATGTTTATTGGATAGTAATAGTCTCAATTAGACATTAGGGATCCCAATATTGTGATTTATCTTACATTAGAAAACAATTCAATTATTTACAAGGCCTGGTTATTTGGAAATGCCTCTCTCTGGAGGAGGAAAGTATCTTTTGGAATAGACACATTGGGCCTTAGGCAACTGCTGATTGTTCATCGTTTTATGGGTTGCATATAGGCCTAATAAGATGATTTTTATTAAGTATTAATTAATTGGTGCTCACCATACGACAACTTCTGATCTGACCTGTGACTTCAGGCTTGTTTAAAAGGTTTATTTGTATTCTGGTCAGGAGATACGTCATTTTCCCACTTTTTTGATAGGGGAAGAAAATAATAAATCAATAAATAAATACATTTAAAAGTAATGTGGCCATCAACAACAATTTATTCGAATACGCAAAAAGAAAATAAGCAACATAGTCATGTCACAGTCAAATGATTAGCCAAAAAATCTTGTTGATTTATTATTATTATTATTATTATTATTATTATTAATAATAATTAATTTATTTATTTATTTTGAACTTTTTTTTGTCTATTTATGCATCACACAGGTGTACCTTACGTGCTTCGAATAAAAAAAAAAAGTATACGCATTATAGTTATTTTAGAAGTAGAGTTTAGGCTATCAACTTAAAAGAAAAAAAAAGAGAAACGTGCATTTATCGCAGTGAACTGATTAGCTAAAATATCTTATCTATCAATTATCGATTTTTTTTTTTTTTTTTTTTTTTCTTCCTTGTCCATCCATCACAGGTGTACCGTGCGTGCCTCGGCCGTAGGTGTGCGTGCTCGTGCCCGCCCGGCGCGCGCCCCCGCCGCCCCTCGTGACGTCAGCAGTGGGTGGTTTTTCGGGTTTGATTCTTTTGGAGCGGCTGAGTTCACGGAGCGGCGGCTGGAGGAGGGGGCCCGCAGCCACTGTTTCACAAAATACTCCGTACTGGCTTTACATCCGGAGTGTCCGCCGCTTTCCCCGCGCGACCCGCTCCAGTTTTATCCTTTAAGAATTTTATCGCTTTTATTAATTTATTGTAGTTTATGGTTTACACTCCGGGAGGGCAGAAATGGCGGCCAACATGTACCGGGTCGGAGGTAGGCTATGTCAATGTGGATCTCTTTTTTTAATCAAACTAACCTGCACACTTTGGGTGTAACTTCGTAATCTGTGCTGATATTACTGCTTTTGTTTGGCTTTGTGGTGAAATGCAGATGCGATTTGCGCGTGTAGCTTAATTAATTTTGTCTAAAAAGGTGAAAAATGCTAAATATTTGGGATACAAAATGGGTCGGGCCTTGCATTTGTCGTGGCCACAGTAGCTAGCCGCCAGGTTGCTAATCGCTGACAATGTAAACATTTTTAGCCTTGCACACCTTGAAGTCGCTATTGTTTAAGATCACACTCTGACCAACTTTGGATTTGGTGATTTGGAGGACTTTTTAGAGCGCACGTGTGTTTGCAAAATGTTGTTTTTGTGCATCCACGGGCAGTCTGAAGCTTGCCTTTGTATTTGCTGTTCTGGCATCCAGCCATCAGTCCGTATTTAGCTAATGTTAGCACCAGCCGTGAACCCACTCATTACCGTTAACATCACCTTCTTGCACGCAAAAACGCACGTCTAGCCCTGATATTAACCCCTCAAAACCACGCCATACCATCACACAACCCTTTTAAACCCGCCAGACCTGCTTAATTAACAAATTGGCTGTGAATGGCTAGCTAGCTCGTTAGCAGTCTGAAGAAAACCATCAAATTGTTGTCTTCATGGCGTCGTTGCGTCGCCAGCACTAAAACCTAACACCCACTATTCTCCTGACAATGCGCCTGCAGTCTGTGTTTTGGGCTGTAAATGAGCAGGAATTACGCACACGCATGGCTCTTCTTGGCCCATTATAATCTGCACACTTTGCCAATGCGTTGCTTCTTTGCATTACAGCACACACATGAACATTATTGATCAAAATAGACCAAACTTAGGCTTTTAATTCACTCACCCTGCATGCAGTTTTTACTCAGTTACATCCATGCTTTAAGTAAATTGTGTTATAACTTCTAAACTTTAAATGCATCTTGGTGAACTTTCTTGACTCTATGGACTTGAGGAATGTTTGACTCAGAGCATTTTCAACTAGAACTATTTCTTTCTGTTTCGATCTAGTTTAGTATCGAGTGTAGACTTAGACAAACTTTATTGATCCACAATATAATATAATAACAAAGAGTAAAAAATGTAAATGGTAGTAATGTAACAATAACCGAAATATTGTGATATTGTATCGTAAAAGTTCTCACAATAATATCGTGGACTATCACAATATTTCGAATTAGAAGTCTTTTTGCTTAAATCAAGAGTTATGGTGCAGCAATAGCTAAAAAAAAAAAAAGACAAAGGGAACTACAAAGACCATGATCCTTTGCTGCATTTCAGTGAAGACTACAAGAAGAAATAACAGTTATAAGCACTTTCAAGCTGTAGTTCTTTGGATTAAGTCTTGTCAAGGCATTTTAAGAGGAAAAACAGTTAACAGTTTTGTTCGCCTCCATAAAATATCACAATAAATATCGTACCGTGAGATGTATATCCTGAAAATAATCGTATCATGAGAATTGGATATCGTTACCCCCCTGATAAATTCTAAATAAGATGGCAAGAGACAGGTTTCAAATAAGACATAATTATATAAATGTATATGTACAAGTCAAATTAAAGTAGAAAAATTAGTAATACAATTTCAGCTTTATACATGAGGTCATATTAAGACAGTACAACAATGATATGGTTTATACTGTTTGGATATGATGAACCTGGTTTACTCGTCTATCTGGTTTTGATTGTGTTTAGGTATACTTAATTGTGATTACATAGGATATATTGACTTTTTGAAAACATCTAACTATCAGAGTCAGAATCAGTTTTATTGTCATTGTAAGAGAACAAAATTTACAGTCTAGGAATATGCTTTGGTAGCCAGACTGGCGCAACCTAGTTCCTCTGATCAGTTTAATTTTTCTTCAGCAACTAGGTCAGGAATTGGAATACACTAGACGGTTTGCAAAAACCTCGGAAGTGCGAGTTCGGGCACCAGCCAATCAGCAAAGAGCCATACATTCTGTGTTGGCAATGATTCTTGAGATCGAGGATTTAAAGCCGGAACAAAGAGAATGTTTGGTCAATTTTATCAACGGGAAAGACGTTATTGTCCTCCTTCCTACGGGATTTGGGAAAAGCTTAATATACCAGTTAACCCCGCATTACATACATCACGACCAAATAACAAGGATTGGTTAAATTTAAAATTAAAAAGTACCCACCTACCATCAAGCGAACAAATTTTAATGCTGCGCGGTCAGTTTTTACGAAGTGAAACCGGCTGATGAATCAGGCTAGTGCTTTGGCATGGTGCAATGTAAAAACATGGTTAATTATAGTGATCGCACTTTAAACTGATCAAATAAAAAGCAAGGTGTTAAGAGAGAAAACTGACTTTGACTAAGCATAAATACAAAATATACAGAGTGACCTATGTGAGAATAGTCGACATTGGCCTATTGAGTGCACAAGTTACGACACTTTCTCTGGCCACTGCTCAAGATCTATTTATGGATTGCTAATATGGCTTACCTATACACTTTAAACGTCCTTGTTACTTCATGACGAAATATTCAATTGATTTAAATGTTACAAATGTATTCAGAAATTGCAGTGTGCAGTGGAGATCTGATGAGTTGTATGATAAAGTAGAATTTGGTGTCTAGATTATTAAGAATGCGTTGTTTCTGAAAATTGTCTTGTTTAGACAAATATTATAATGTAAAAATGACTCTCACAAACTCACTTTTTGCCAAATTAAAAGACGATAACAAATTTTGAAACGGATATAATGCTACAGAGATATACTGCCGTAAACTATAATATTGTAACTACTTTATACTATTTACACAAAGCAGGATAATCCCAGTAAACCAGTTTTTAAATAGACTGTATAATTAAGCCTCAATTGTAACCACTAAAAGGCAGAATTAAACCAATAATTAGACTTAGATGTTATTTATTCTACTCTCTCCAGCTCAAATCTTATGGTATTAGATAAAAATGGTAAAAAAATCTCCCCACTACTGCAAAGAAAAGGCCTCCATGATAACTATAGAGCCCCAAAATATATTATTACAGCTTCCATGTATTGAACGATAAGTGGATATTGTAATTATCCTGACAGGCCTTCTTTAAATTTTGATTGAGCTACTGTGACGGTAAATGATGTCCTTATGCATTATCACTGAGGACAATGCAGTAAAGTGGCTGTCTAACTTTATTATATGCATTAAAATGGGGCGGTCTCGTGGCCTTGTTGTCATGCCCCCCGCAGGCTCCTGTAAAGTTTATAGTGCCGTTTTCCCTCGGGGTGGGGGTATTAGCACGTTACAGAGGGCTGGGCTCTTGTGTCCTCTGTTTTTTGTTGCACTGCCCAATTATAACGGTGTTTTTCCAGTTTTACCAGAATCTAAACCTATAAGGAGAGGCTCACAAAACTGACAGTCACTACATTTGTGCTTTGTTAGAATTAATTTTGCATGTACATTCTCGATTTTTCTGTTTTGTCATCTTTTGTAATAACGGCTATGGATAGACCTGTCAGGATAACACATTTTTAAGTTTGATATATTTCTAGTTAATAGATGAAAGATTGTAATATTGGAACTATATCATAAAGCAGAATTATCCTCCAAAAGTTTTCTAAATGTACAATAATAACAATATAAATAAATAAAAGAATGCAAAATTTAAGTAGTTTGTAATAGTGTTCAGGGTTCACACTCTTTCTCACAGGTACAATTTTGGTACTTTTTCATGACCTAAAGTGAATTTTCCATGACTTTACAGCACCTACATGTGTAGAATTGACCACACTTTTAGGGCTAAATATGAAATGTTTCCACTCACCTTGTGGTTTGGTATTTTTTAACATTCAAAATCCTGTCAGTGCATTTATTGTCGTCTCTTTTAAACAAAAGGTGCAGATAATTAGAAATAATCATAATAGCCTAATGAGAACTTAACAGAACGCTGTAGTTGCGTGAAAGAGATACTAAAATTCCATGACTTTTCCAGGATTTCCATGACTGGGAACCCTGAGTGTTTCTCAATAAAAGAGCATATGTCTTCCTATAGTCTAATTTTTGCCCCTAATTTTGCCTGGATTATTGTCTTAAATCAGGCGTGTCCGAACTACCAAACTATGGCCCGTGGACCAAATGCAGCTCTCAGACAAATTTTTCTTGGCCCTCAGGCTTCTAGGGGAATTGGCCCAAATTACCTTGCATCAATTAAAAATTAACTTTTTACTGCAATTTTTTTTTTTTGAAAATCTACCTGATAAAGCAGATATTTAATATTTAGTGTGTGGTTTTAAGGATCTTAGCATGAATAGACTGATGGCTCATTCTAATGTGTTAAACATGCACATATTTTAATTATTCACTGTACTGAGCTCCAGTCTACAGCCCTCGATCAGCCTCTGCTTTGTCTTTGTTTAGATATGTGGCCCTTGATGAAACAAGTTTGGACACCCCTGTCTTAAATCTATAGATGTAACTATGTTTTATTTGTATTTAGTCTTTTTTTTATCAGTAGAACCAAAAAAATCACATTATTTCCCATATATTGTATTGAAAAGTGATTCACACATGGACTGCTTGTACCGCCATAGTCTTGTATAAAAAATGGGGAACTCTGTGGTTAATATAAGATAGTATATAATTAGAACTGAAAAATGCAAATAAAAAGTTCCTAAAAGTAGTAGTAGTAAAAAGGAAAAGTCCGATAAATACTAACTGCCAAAATATATTGTTCGATGTATCATATATTGAAGTGGAGGTAGTATTTATTGTAGGAGGCCTATTTCCTCTACTGTAATAACGGCAAAGATAACTGAAGAAGTGCTTTAACCAGGGAGCCTTATCTGCTGATGGGAAGTTTGTGCGGTTTTTGGTCTACTACTACTACAACTACTGCAATTACTACATGATAATACTGAAACTACTTTATGCCACACACAATAACAAGAAAGTAAGATAAACTAAATTAACAGACTCAGACTCATCAGACTCCGACTACTACTACTACTCAATAATATTTAAACTACTTTATGCCACACACAATAACAAGAAAGTAAGATATACCAAATTAACAGACTGCGACTACTGCGACAACTGCGACTACTACTCACTAATATTTAAACTTTATGCCACACACAATAACAAGAAGGCAAGATAAACGAAATTAACAGACAACGACTACTACTACTCCTACTACTATTACTACTCAATAATATTCAAACTATTTTATGCCCCTGACACAAGAAAGCATGGTAAACCAAATTAACCATTTTCCAGTCGACGGTGTAATTAAAACACATGCACTGCAATTAATAAATGGCATAATGAAGCAATAATTAGTGAGAGAAATAACCTTTTCAACCTCCTACTGCTAAAATTTGATCATGTTACGATTAATAACATTAACAAAAATCTCTCCACTATTGCAAAAAAACCAAACACGATAAATCTAGAGCCCCAAAATATATTGAGCCATAATTTGATATAGTAATTGTCATGGCAAGCCTAAGGAAGGTATTCTTAGAGTATGTTTCATGATTTGGAGTTTATTTCAGTTCAGTAGCCTTATATTGCTTTCTCGTGAGAGTTCACACTTCAGTGTGATTGGTGGACTCCGTGTGTTTCTGTTGGACCACAGACCGGCTTCGATCAGAATAAACACAATAAATAAAAACTCTGATCACAACAGTTTCTCAAAGTTTTGGTCCAGGGTCTTGCACACATTCTAGTTAAAGGTCATATAATAGACAAAACTGACTCTTGTGAGATTTTAGTCATCGTTCGAATACTGTTACATCCTCAAACACACCTCGAGTTGCGTTTTGTTTCACTCACATGTTTGAGTAACACTTTATTATTAGACTTTCTGTGAAAGTTCAAAATGCTCTGTTCCACTTTGCGATCTCATGCAATAGTAGTTTCGAAGTTAACAGCTGCTTTTTTTACTTTTAGTTGAGTAGATAGTGACATTTCCAGAGCTGAGATTATTCAAATGATTCTAGTGAAGGTGTATTGAGTTTAAAAACACAGTGGAGCACTTCTTGTATTACCGCATGACATCGCAAAGTGGAGTGTTTTCAGAAGAACTCAGCCTAAATTTGCAGGATTTGTGTGTTAAACATGTGTGAATGAAACAGAACTCAACTCCAGGTCTGTTTTTGATGAGGAAAAACGTTACATAGATCAGAAAATGGCATAATATGAGCCCTTTCATGCTCCTCTGCTGACCTACCTTTTACCACAACTGAATGCGTAGTGAAAGTGGCACACTGCATGAAGCTTTAACTAAATTCTTGAATTTTAACGAACACTGCAGACAGCCTGTGCAGCTATTATGTCTAAATAGCTACTTTCAGTCTGCAGTCGCTGATTTCCCTGAATAAAAATGCAACATATTTTCTTTACTCTTCCCGTCGACGCTTGCCAAAATGACGGATGATATGACAAAAACAAAATCAAACTGTTTTCGTTGGAGGCATTAATCACAAGTTGCGATGCAGTTTTCCATTTCGCTTTTATTTCTCTTTCATACAGTATTAATTCCCTCAAAGTCTGAACTCTGACCCAAACTACATTTATGAGTAAATGTAAAATAAAGCCAAAAAAAAAATCACCAATTTTAATTTGTAAAGTCTTCCAAAATGGCCTGATAAAGGGTAATTGTTTAAAGAAGCATGGAAAAATTCTTGTCCACCATCTATACTAGAGCCCGACCGATATATCGGTTGGCCGATATTATCGGCTGATATGGCTACTTTAGGCATATCGGCTATCGACCGATATGCTTGCTGATAGGGGCCGATATTTCACGTGGGCATGTTATACCTCGTTATAAAGCTTAGACTCTCTACATTCTGTTCATTTAATCCAATTTACAGACAGATAAATGTCCTAATATGTGGCTCCACATCAGTATTTATCTACGGAGTCATTTGTCTGTGTGTGTCCGTACTGTCCCTGAACACACCAGAGTCGCGTCACTCACGTGTGTTTGTTTACACTCGCAGACATGGATCCAAACACTGAGATTATATTCTTTTTACGGACAATCGGTTTGAGTCTGGATTAAAAGGACATTTATTAGTGCAGACTTGTGATGTGGGAGGAGCCTGTATGAGCGGTGAGTGTTGGAACTATGTCGATTCTGAAGCTAGTTTTTGTCATTTGTATGGGTTAGCTGCTGTAGGTCTCGCACATAAACAGTCTGTTTTCTATTGGTCTGTTCTAAATTGGCTACATTGGCTATTTGCTACTGGACCTGCACTGATATGTAAATGAGCTGTGAATAGACGTGTGAATTATAACATTTGCGCATATAATTAATTATCGCGGCGCACACGTATTTACGGCTAAAGGCTAATAGCGCTACTTTCTTTACTAGTTATGGGTCGGTCGCGAACGAAATGACTCTTAGAACCGGCTCTTTGAAGGGAACGACAGGAGCCTGATCCTTATTGGGAGCCGTGTTTTCTCTTTCTCTCACTTTTTTTCTCTTCACGCCACGTGATTCGTGGTTTGACAGCGGCAGCGGCTAAAAACGAAACTTTGAGAAATTTGCGTAGGATTAAAAAAAAAACAAAAAAAAAAAAACGAGCATATTTGACTGTAGTTTAGCATAAAATAAATAAGTCCCGGTTTAGTCCTTTTTCAGTCCTGGTTTAGACCTGGTTCAGTCCTGATTGCAACAAAACAATCTGAAGAGCCACTTGGGAGCCAAAAGAACCAGCAGCTTTTAGTGAGCCGAGCCAAAAGAGCCGGTTCTCTAAAAAGAACTGGAATACCCATCACTAGTGTCTAGAATGTGATGCAAAAATGCCATTAAGCCAACCTACTGTCTGTAAATATGATGTAAAGAGGCAGAATAACAATAAATGTTGCCTAAATAAACCCAATTTAAAATCCACCAGAGCCAAACCTAAGTTTTTTAAACAATTCAACATTTACAGTGAATTTTTACATCACTTAGTATATCGGCGATTATATCGGCTATCGGCAGCTCCAACTCCAATTATATCGGTTTCATATCGGCCACAGCAAAATCCATATCGGTCGGGCTCTAATCTATACCTAATTAGGCAAGTATTTTGGTTGGAATAATTGCCAAAAATGTTATAAAGTCCTTCAGAAATAATAAAATAAAAGATAGTATGTATGGAAATGCAATAGAGAAGGCTAGTCCACTTTCTCTACCGCTATAAACCAAAATTTTGGTTGGAATCATGACCAAAATAAAAGAAAAATCACCAATTTTACGTTGTAAATTCTTCCAAAATAGTCAAATAATAGTTAGAAATGTCAGAATAAGACTTATTGTTCAATATATGAAAGCTCAATCTAAAAATGTTTGGTGTTTAATATTTATCATGGGTACATTTTCTTTGCGATATTGGGGAGATTTTTGTTCATTTTTATTGTAATACGATAAGATTTGAGCAGTAGTTTGAATAAATAATTTCCTCAGGCCTTCAAGTGATACTGTATATTTAAAAATGTCTTTACTAGAATAATCCTGCTTTACTGTTATTGTGTCAGTTGCATGAAGTAGTTTCAATATTATACTTGTTAAATTGTTATTTCTCTGAAGCAGTGTATCGTGCTTCGAAATGTGTTACCGTGACAGACAACTTTCACTAAAAACTAAACTATAAAGAGTCACCACATTGTTAATTTCAATTTTTAGTTCCTCCTCGTTAAAAGTTGAAAAGGTCACAGGTCTGAATCATTTGCATATTAACAATTTTGCATCTTACCACTCATGTCACTTTTGTAATTAGATGATTATAGTGGTAGAAACCAAGTCTGCCAACCTTAGACTAGGGCTGAGTATCATTAAGAATTTGCTTATACGATACATAACTTGATACAGTGCACTTTAGGTTCGATACAATATATTTCAAATCGATTTGATGCGGTTCAATTAAAAATAAAAGCTCCTGGCTGTGATACTAAAAGTCTTTGTTAAACCACCTCTTTGCAAAGTAAATATGAGACACACCCATTTTACTCATCAAACAGTGAAAATGTCAAATGTGTCGCATAAACGAGTTTCACTAAACAAGCAACAAAACTAGCTCTGTAACAAAATAATTGAGTAAAATATACCAAAAGTACTCTGTATCATCACATTAAACAATACGATATATCGATATTTCTACACATCCCTGCCTTAGACTCTCTTGTAACCAAATCTGACCTGTTTTTATTGACATGTTAAGTTGTCTTTCTGATGTGGTGATGGATGGTTTAATGGACCATTGCATATTTTCTTTTGCAGATTACGTCTTCTTCGAGAACTCCTCCAGTAACCCTTACCTGATCCGCCGGATAGAAGAGCTGAATAAGGTACAAACAAAGTCACTGTGGCCTAAAGATGAATATTTTGGATTCCTCTGCCTTTGTTACCCAACCAGAATTTGTGTTTTGATCTGGTGAAAGATGAAACCGGAGATGTTTTTTTCACGATGTTGTTCAGAACTAGCGTGCTTAAAGTGCCTATGACAGGTTAGACTACTCATGTAAGAGATGGAACAAGATCTCGTGAGATTTATTTCCCTGTGTTTTTATGTTTGGATTGGATTCAAAAATGGAATGAAGTACTGGTGATTAAAATTTTTTTGAGAAGCTGTAGTCCCACAAAGCACTGCTACAAAGACGGCAGGCCCTTTTAAAGGTCCTGTACCTGATTTTTATTGTCTTAAAAATGTGAACACATTGACTTTACAAGTGCTTATTTCCTGGTTCACAGACGATTTAAATGCCTTTATAATTAGATTTTTATTTTCCCGAAACGTTCAGCTGTTATATGGTGCACAGCAATCTTTTTTCCTGGTTCGCATTGGGGATGGGCATGATTAGTCCACGAATGGATAATGATCATTAAGAATTTCGTCGATTACGTTCTTTTCTAATCGACAAACCGAATGTAGGTTTTAGGGATGGGCATTCAATGAAATTTTCTTAATCAATCGTCGGAAGAATTAACGATCGATTATCAATTAATCATTAACGTTTTTATATTAAAATGATCATCATTATTATTACTATCTGCACTACTAATCTGTATAAATAAATTCAACTTTACGACATATAAACCGTGACCGCTCTAGAGCCACATCAGCCGTTTGAGATTATAATGTGTTTAATGCAGTTTTGCGCAACTCTCACAGAAACGAAACTTAAAACCGCATCGCTAATTTGCATAAACTAAGCGAAGATAAAACTACAGCTCTTGTGCGCTGATGCGGTCAATTTCTGTTGGATTAAAAGACATGACTCAGGCAAAGCCCCCTGGACACCGAAACATATGTGCTGCTTTGTACACTGCACATGGACTCACAGACTCACCGACTGTTTGTGTCTCGCTCCTTCTGAGTGCAGAGAGCTACATGTACGAACCCCTGTTTAGTCACTCTACACACAGCAACCTGCATTCAGTTTGTCTATTAAAATTAACGTAATCGATGAAATTCTTAATGATCAATTATCGATTAATCGACTAATCATGCCCATCCCTAGTAGGTTTCTTTGCGTAGATATGAAGCTGCGTCTGACAGCGCTAACACTAGAGTTGCGGCCTCAGTCCCACTTTTGGGCTCTGGCACCTCCTTGGAGATCAGTGTACCCTTCAGTGAGTGTGTTTACATGCACATCTGTATCCCCGGTTTCGTCATGGTGCATGTTTACACATTATTCCGGTTACGGCAACATAAAGAGCTAAACCTGCACACATAAGATCTTTGAAAACATTGCAATACACAGAACAGATTCACCTTCAGCATCAACATCCCTCTGTCACAGAAAGGACACCTATATTCCACTGAGTCGTGTCCTTTAGTCCGACAGAAGCTGAACCGCATCAGCGCACGAGCGATTTTTAAATTAATTTTTATTTTTTTCTCTTTGTTGATGCAAATTAGCCATGCGGTTTTAAGTTTTGTTTCTGTAAGACTTGCGCAAATCTGAATTAAACACATTATAATGTCAAACGGGTTGATGTGACTCTACAGTGGTGATGGTTTACATGTTGTAAAGTTGAGTTTATTTATGCAGATTAGTAATAGTAATAATAATGATGATACTTATTATATAAAAACGTTAATGTTTAATCGAGAAAATTTCATCGAATGCCCATACCTAGTTCGCAGACAATAAAATAACTTTATAAGGACTTTATTTTTTTCCGAAACAATTCAACCCAGTTATATGCTGTATTTAATGTCTTATTTATGTGTTTTCGTTTGCAGACGGCCAGCGGAAATGTGGAGGCCAAAGTCGTGTGTTTTTACAGAAGAAGAGACATCTCACACAGCCTCATTCAGCTCGCAGACAAACACGCGAGTGAGTCTTTTTAATTTATTTTGATTAATGTAAAAGTGGGTGAGCGGCAAAGAGACGATTGATTATATAATGTAGTTCAATAATGAAAAACGGCTTTAAATTATTCATTCCCCAGACAAACTTTGAAACTGTTATTTTTCTTCTAAATAATTCATGTGTTCTGACTGGAAATGAAACAACCCAAAAACCCAAACAAACACAGTACACTGTAATCAATAAAATGTTTTGCTTTTAATATTTTTCCCAAAATGTAATTCATCATATTCTAAATGGTCTTACTGAAACTTGGATAGCAACAAAGTTTTTAGAAACAATGTGTGGTTTATAAAAATATGATATAAAAGTAGGGTAAAATACAGTATTAGTAAACGGGGCTGGGGATCACAGGGATCCTCATGATTTGATACGATACTCAAAACACGGCTCACGACACAATATTGTCACAATATGGCGATATATGTGATAATTTATTTTATACTCTTTTTTTTACTTTAGTACAGGCTTGTCCAAACTATGGCCCGTGGGCTGAATGCGGCCCTCAAACCATTTCTTTCTTGGCCCTCAGGCTTCCAGGTGAATTGGCCCAAATGAACTTGCATCAATTAAAAATAAACTTTTTACTGGATTTTTTTTTTTTTAAAAATCTACCTTGATAAAGCTAGTGTTTAATATTTAGTGTGTGGTTTTGAGGAGGAGGGTGAATAAAAGGTCATTCTAACATGTTAAACATGCAGATATTTCAATTATTCACTGTACTGAGCACCAGTCACCGGCCCTTGATCAGCCCTCTGCTTCATCTGTGTTTAGGTATGTGGCCCTGCTTTAGTGTATGGTGTTGTGTGAGCTACTGTGTCCAAATAATTTCTCTTGTGGATCAGTAAAGTTTGTCTAAGTCTAAGATATTGCATACAATACTTTAAATCCATTTTAGCAACAATATTTCTTTGTTAAACCACTACTTGTGCAAATTAATATGAAACACATCTATTTTAATCATCAAAACACTGAATATGTCAAGTGTATTGCATAAACGAGTTTCCTTCCACTAAAAAAAGCACACAAAAAAAGGCTAAAAGCTACCAAAAATACTCTTGATCGATATAACAGCCCACGATATCAATACAGTATCATCAAATTTAGTATTACGATATATTGATATTTTGATATTTTTACACATCCATGTTAGTAAAGTTAAAGATAATTTTTACGTTGTTTTTTTTTAGCATTTTTGCCACGACAAAGTGCTTATCACAGATACAAAAACCCTGATTCCAAGTTTCCTGCACAGCCTAGTATCGGATTAAAGCACACCCTGCTTTTTATGTCTGTATTTCCCCATCGCATTTTATATCTGTTAATTATCTGCAGAATGATGACATTTTCAGAAGACATGAGACATTCACTTTAGTCACAGTAATAAGCTCAGTATCAACCATGTGATAAACTGTGTTATCTTCGTCATTGGGAGTTAAAGGACAGAGGTCGAAAACAACGGATATAATATAAAAAGATGATCTGTTCCTCAATATTAAAGGGCCCATATTATGCTATTTTCTACCTATGTTATAATATTGTTTCATCACCATCATGCCCAGAGTTGTGTTTTGTTTCATTCACACATGTTAACACACAAACCCTGCATATTTAGGTCTGTTCCACCTTGTGATGTCATGTGGTAATACAGGACGTTTGTTATTAGGTTCTTGTTTCAGACCAAGGGTTTGTTTAGTTTCAACTTCTCACGAGCGCTCTTCCTCAGAGTGGTCACATGATGTTGCTGTGACGTGTCCGCTCAGCTGATTTAAACAGGTTTTGGCGCTGTCTTCCTACCGGTGAAGGCAGGACGACAGCGCAATCTGCAGTCCCACTTCCTCAGGACAGTATCGCAGGTGTGTGAGAGTTAAAAAGCCCCCTCGTCCCGGTTTATAGTCTCGTGGGCACGTTTCCGTATTTCGATTGCCGCTTTAATCCACCAACGTCAACCTCAGAACCTAATAATATAAATTATCAGAAGACCAAATGGACCTCATTGGGCTAATACAGGAAGTGCTCCACTGTGTTTCTCCATACACCTTCACAAGAATAATTTCAGCCCATCCCTACTGAACAAAAACTAAAAGGAGCTGTTAACTTGAAAACTACAGCTACATGACATCACAAGCTTTGTGTGATGTGTGAATGAAACAAAACACAACTCTGGTTTATGTTTTTGAGGACATAACAATGTTCTAACATGAATTCCACAAAACACCCGAAACAAAACTATTATTACACCAGACTGTCGATGTGAATGTGTTGATAGAATAGTTGTAGAAGGAAAACCAACCTTGCATTTGAAGGATTTATGTCTGAGCAGCAGCAGTGAGTTGTACTTCCTGATAGAAAGTTTGACAGCGGCTGACTGATATGAGAAAATAGTCCCTCAACATGCGACGATTCATGCGATACAAGGTTAGTTTTATTTCAAACATTATTCTATCAACACAGACATTTACATCAACAGTCTGGTGTAATAATAGATTTGCTTCGGGTGTTTTGTGGAGTGGGTAAGACTGTTTTTAGTGTCAGGATAACTATGGCCATTGACATGCACTAGTCTAGCACCAGTGACCTCTGCAAATACAAGGACTGGATGGAATATTTAAAAAAAAAAAAGTGTCTCCACACATCTCCAACACTCTGGCTCACTAGGAAATGAAGTCCTATGTCCAAAATTCCAAACTGTCCCTTTAAAGGTCATAAGAGTCAGTTTTGCATAATATGTGGCCTTTTAATATATACAAAATTGGGAGATCACTAATGCACAAGCAAAAACTGTGATTAGAATTGCGATCTCTGTTCAAAGTTCACATTTTAAACACGTCCAGAAGAACTGCCAAAAAGACTGAAACTGAAAATGAATAAAATGAACTGAAAATCTAACCCAAGCGTCACATTTCAGAACATGTTTGTACAGATCTAAACCACAGCGTTGGCAGCTTTTATATAGAATGAGACAGGATATTTTGTTACTTTGTTTAAAAATTCACGGTGCGTCCAAAATTGCAGCCTTTGGGGTTTGCCAATTCCATCCATTGTATTCAGTTTCGATTAATCTCGCAGGCCTATAGTGCACTTTTACCTCTTAACTCTGCATTCTTGTACCAATATATATTCAGTATCCATCCTCGGCGCACAGGGTAATCTTGCTCGCCAATGTTGTTTGCTTTAAAAACGATGATGGAAGCACATAAGTAGATTTGTATCGTTCGTTGTAAGCGAAATGGCAAATATCAAACAATGGCTCGATCAATAAGGCTTCAAACACAGATCTTTGGCACTGCAAATGTCAGGAAAGGACAAATTTAAACAAGGATCAGTGAGTTTAAGATGGTATCACTGAAAAAGGGAAATTGAAAGTACTTGAAAGTAGTGCTCTAGTCTGCAAGAAACTTTGAACTGCTCTGAAGTTAAGAATCTGTATTGCATTTAACAGATGGCTGCGGGGCGTCTCCTGAAAGTTCATTCTTCCTTATGATTGAGTGACAGGTGGATGTAACCAATCAGAGCAGGACTAGGCTGGCCAACAGGAGATGTGGGCGGGGAAAATGCAAGCTCTAAATCATAACTGTTACAACCATAGGCTTTATTCACGCTCGCGTCACAAATCAGGAAGACGTTCGGAAGCATGCGACGACAACTTCTGGTGCTAGTAAGTCTGACGAAATCTAGAAGAAAAAATGACAAAGTGACCCAGTTTTCTTCATGTCCATGTAATTGCAGCGTTCCGTTATGTTCGGCTAATCAACAATTACAACCATACCTCAGTTTTCACAATTTCCCCACTGACGCACAACTCCGAGTGCACTGGGTACATGCAATTAGAAGAGATGAAGGCAGCGAATTAAAGGACATATGTATGCATTCTTCAGTTTACTGCTGATCATTTACTTCAGTGGGTTTGATCACAGTCGGTTGGTGAGCCCAGTGTCCCGGAAATTGTCATCGAATGTTTCTAAATGTCTTTCTGGTTTGTGTTGTAAGCCTGAATAGAGCCTATTGACACACTAAAGGGAAAGTCCTTGGTTAAAGCTGTAAGTTAATCTGTAAGTTTGTTTTATTTTTTACCAGTAGATGGCAGATGTGAAACCTGTTCACCTCCTCATGGCCCCTTACCTGGCGCCTCCCCTTACCTGTTCCCTCTTCTCACCCGGCCCCTCTACTCTAACTTGGCCCTTCTCCCCTCACCTGGTCCCTCCTTTCCTCTTCACCTGATCCCTCCTCTTCTCTTCACCTGGTCCCTCCTCTTCTCTTCACCTGGTCCCTCCTCTTCTCTTCACCTGATCCCTCCTCTTCTCTTCACCTGATCCCTCCTCTTCTCTTCACCTGATCCCTCCTCTTCTCTTCACCTGATCCCTCCTCTTCTCTTCACCTGGCCCCTCCTCTTCTCTTCACCTGGCCCCTCCTCTCCTCTCACCTGTCCTTTGTTCAGACTCACCTGTTCTCTCTGATCATCTTCTGTCATTCTAAAACTGGAACATTATTAGACTTCATCAAAATGTGAGAGTACAACATGGCCCACAGTCATTTTTATTTGTGTATTTACTGGTCATTCCATTTCATTTTGTTTGCATCAATTTAAAGAGAAAAACACAAAAACCTGAGTCTAATTGTAGACCATAGCTTTAAAGGTGCACTAAGTCACTTTCCTGGTGGAGAGTCTGTTACCCGCTTGCCTCCGTGGAGAAGTTCTTGCATTGCTTGGAATGTTACACCGTACGGCATTCAACCTAATCAATCTTCATGGAGAAAAAGCAAGAAACTCCAGTCACAACAAGAATGCAAGTTATTCAAGGTATTTTCTTTTAACAATAACAGCACAAATAAGGGAATTAGTGCAAAATCGGTAAATCTAATGCCATATTGTGGAACATTCCAAAGCAAAGCAATTACACCTCTACTGACGGAAGAGGTGAAGGTCCCTACTCCACAAAAGTGCGTAGTTTTTCTTAAGTCCACAGACACTATACGGAGAGATCTTGGTTAAAGTACAGCCAAACAGAATTCATTGCACATTTAAGAGACACTTCAGGACATGAACAAATCCTGGTCTGGACTTTGGACTGGACTCCTGGTGTCAGTTCGCAAAGGATGGACCTGTTTTATGTGAGGCGTGGACCGGGCGCAATGCAGAATCGATAAAGAGTCATTGGGATTCAAAGCAACAGCTGCGGAGTACAGCCTCTGCAGGACAATTACTCAAGAGGAAGAGACGGGACTAGAGCAAAGTTTTAAACAAAGTACCGCCCCAGAGAATCGGAGGTTTTCACATCCTAGAATGTGGTGCTCTCAGAGTCCAGATGGGGGCCAAGAGCGAGAGTTCCCTTGTTGATGTCAATAACATTCCCTGGGTGGCGGTGTGATGCTAATTGTAAGAACTGCTCAGTCTGAGGCTTGTTAGACTTTAATCTGAGTTTTATTTGAACTCAGTCTGATAAGAAAGAACAGACTTGGCTGGAACTACAACAGGTGTGCTTTTAAAGTCTCTCACTCAAAATAACACAGTCTCTCTTAAATAACATGACTCACAAGATAGCTGGGAATCAGCCAATAGTTTTTCAGTTAGTCTCTCACTTTTTTATTGAACATTTAACATCTAAAGATTTAAACAGGACCATGAACACTTGTATTGATCTCAAGTTCCTGAAAATGTGTTTAAATCCATTTTGTTAATATAGTCTTAAAACAAAAAAATGTTTACTCTTTTGGCAATTTTTACTCTTTTGGCAATTTTTACTAATGTGTGCAGAAACTTTGCACCATAGAAATACATGTAGAACACTCCCCAAGTATGATGTCATAGCAAAATATCAGTTGATTACATTCTACTTTGTTATGAATTGTCCAGAAAGTGTATTCACAAATGTGTAACGTGTCTACACCCATTAACTCATCATATTACAACAGAAATCCCCATTTTAAACAGGGATGGGCTGATGGATTTTTTTTAGCTGATATGATATCGGATATTTGTCCTGCTGCTGGCACAGCTGACCAATCGTTACTGATACAGATACTTATCTTTTAAAATCCATCCAAAGGGCTAAAAAATTATCTAGAAAATTATTCCTAAACTGAAGTAAATATTGTAAATACACTTTTCACTTTTGTAAACTAATAACAAAATGTGTTTATTTGGGATGTAAAATAATTAATTACATGTTTACATATAAGCACAACTAGGGCTGGGTATCATTAAGAAGGTGTTCATACGATACATACTTCGATACATAGGCCACGGTGCGATACATATCTCGATACTGTGCACTTTTGGTTCGATACGCTATATTTCAAATCTATTCGATATGGTTCCATAAAAATAAAATAATAAATCATGTCTGTGATACTAAACGTATTTGTTAAACCACTTCTTGTGCAAAGTTAATATGAAAAACACATTTTAATCATCAAAACTGTGAAAATGTCTCGTGTCACATAAACAAGTTTCCTTCCTCTGAACAAACAACAAAACTGTAGCAAAATAATTTTGTAAAATATACCAAAAAATACTCTTGCCAATATATCGACACAGCAGCCCCCACTATCGATATGTATTATTACATTAAACAATACTGTGTTTCAATATATTTGCACACTTCTCACCATAACTAATTACACCCAAACAATATCTGTATCGGATGTCAGTGCCAATACTGGACCATTTTATCGCCCATCTACATTTTTAACTATCTATTTTAGCTGTACTAAATCTTATTGTCTTATAGAATGATGTAACAGCAATACCTGAAGCATATTTAAAGGTGCACTATGTAACTTTTCTGATGAAATCTGTGCACCATGTTTATGCATTATGAACAGAATCTTGATTAACCTATTAATCTGGATTAATGTTGATATAATTGTAAGTAGAACTGTGGCAAAAATCAGTATTTGATATTTTTACAGAACCAATCGAGCAGTTGTAATTTCCTTCCAAAGTTTTCTCAAGTTAAAACTGCTTTAATATAGATACTTTGCAGAGGCTTACCTGATTTATAATGACCTTGTTGTTTCCTCCTTTATGCATAAGTAATTTGCAAACACACAAGTGTGGAACGAGAGCTGTCTCTTTTACTGATGAGTTACTGATAGAAATTTCTCCACTGTCCATTTCTTTAAAGTACCTGTTTACCCTGGCATGGTCCTGCGATCATCTGAGATTTAAAATTACATTTGTTGTCACGGCAACAAAGGGCTTTTTCAAAATCAATGGTGCAATAGTTTGAGATGGCCGAAGCCCCCGGGAGCACCAGCTGTTTTATGACCCTACCTCCTGACGGCTCAGAGTTTTATCACACAGAACAAACTTTATAACTCAAATAATTCACGTTGTTTCATTCCCACCAGTGACAAGAATCCCCAAGGTTTTATTGCACTACAAAGTAGAGATGGTAGTAATTCGAAAGTGTTTAAAACCTGGATATATTACATTTATGTATACACTTTATAATAACGACACTTTAACCTTAAGTTTATTAAGAATGAATCTGGCTTAGAGACTACTTTAAAGGCCCTATGTTACACAGAATTGACTCTTGTGAGCTTTTAGCCATGTTATAATGTAATGTATTATTAGTCTGTCTACATCTCTCAAGCTCAAAATGCTCTGTTCCACCTTGTGATGTCATGTAGTGGTAGTTTTCAACCTAACTGCTATGTTTTACCTTTAGTTCAGTAGAGATCGGGAATTCCAGGACTCAAATTATCCACATTATTCTAGTGAAGGTGTATGAGTTTAAAAACACAGTGGAGCACATCCTGTATCATCACATGACATCACAAGGTGGAACTGAGTGTTTCCGTTTGAGAAAATATCTAAGCATGCAGGGTTTGTGTGTTAAACATGTGTGAATTTGAATAAAATTGATCTCCAGGTATTTTTTGATGAAGAAACAATATAACTTAGATCAGAAAATATCGTAATATGCGGGCTCTTTAATAAACTATTATGAATTAAGTCTTTTTGTTTTGCTTTATAAGGGATAATTAGGTTAGAAATTATTAAACTACAATTTACTATTTCGTGGTCTTCAATTCATATCATGCAGTATTTGTTGGAATTTTTGGAACTGATTTTCTTTTCTTCCCACTTCCACCCAAAATGAAATGTTAAGTTTCTATGCTACACTTGTGTTGGCATGAGTCTCAAAAACTGCACCAGCCAAATACTAAAAAATTTATGTGGATTTACAAAGGCTTAAAGATTAACTTTCAACAGCAGTTTGGACTATAGCTGTAATATGGAAAAATACAGATTCTTCATTGGAAAATTGTTATATATAGCACAAACATTTCAAACTTTATTTCTGTAGCAAGAAAAGTGCTTGATACAGATTTCAATCCAACTATTATGTTTGACAATATAATGTAATTTTCAAAAGTCAAATGAAAATAATAGTTTTTTATGTTACCATGTGGTCTTATATAGGGCTAGGTATCATTAAGAAGTTGCCGATACGATACTTACCTCGATACAGTGCACTTTCGATTCGATATGATATATTTGAAATCGATTTGATACGGTTCAGTAAAAAAATAATGGCTAGATCATGGCTGTGATACTAAAAGTCTTTCTTAAACCATTTCTTGTGCAAAGTGAATATGAAACCCACACATTTTAATCATCAAAACAGTGAAAATGTCAATTAAACAAGTTTCCTTCCACTAAACAAGCAACAAAACTGTAGGGCTGTAACAAAATTTGTAAAATATAACAAAAAATACTCTTGGCGATACATCGATACATCAGCAAATGATATCGATACTGTGTCATCGCATTAAACGATTAAACAATACGATATTTTGATATTTTTGCACACCCCTAGTCTTATATTGGTTCAGGTCAGGTCCGTTGACAGAAATTTGAGGGCCTGGACCAAAAAGCCTTACATGGGTCCCCTCTAATATAAATTCATAAGAAAAAGGTTCAGTTCTGGGCCCCTAAAAACCTGGGGCCCGGGACAATAGAGCACTTTATCCCGCCCATCTACTGCCCTGATTGAAATACTGATCCTGACCCATTTTAAAACCTTAACTTAAATAAAATCTAGTTTGAGTGCCAGATTTGGTGTGTCGTTTTGTTTGTGCGACGTCGCTGAAAAGACCTGCTTCTGTCTGGATGCTTGTCCCAGTTGCTTTGCTCTTTAAAAACATATATTTAAACCTTTTACCGTCTCTTTTGTTTCTGCAGAGGAGCTGGAGGAGGAGAAGGAGAGCCCCACAGAGACAGAACTCACAGACAAACAGAAACACCAGCTTCGTCACAGAGAACTCTTCCTCTCACGGCAGTACGAAAGTCTACCCGCCACGCACATCAGGTCAGACAATACTGCAGTACAGCTTTATATTCATGCACCGTTGTTGTAGCAATTAACAAAAGAAAATCCATCTTTGGAATGGTCAACCGTGCTCAAAATGCGAGCTGAAACCCATGAATATTCGATTACAACTTTTGTTCAATCCAGCGGAGAAACCACAGACATCTCTCCTGTCCACAAATGCACAAAGCGGATCCCTCTGCACGCTTTTCACAAACAAAGAGTCTGAGTTTACGCTAAAATGGGCTTTCCGTGTAGCTGTTTGTTTTGGATTGTTTGGGCAAAATCACCTGTATTTGTGAGACTGTGAACTCGAATATTGTGAGAATTCATCTTGCTGGCCAGATCAGAACGAATATGATCATAAGCAGTACTTTTAACTGCAAATGTAAATAGTTCTGCTACAACAATTTCAATAAAATCACATTGTGTTATGATACAGCCCTAAAATTTATGTTTCAAGAGTTTTCATCAATGTGGTCATCAATTTCTATCAAAGTTGTGTTAAAGGTACATTGTGTAACTTTTCTGGTGAAGGGTCCTTCAGATGCTTTTCTACATGGAGATGATTTGGCATTAAACCTTTCTATCTTCATGGAGGCCAAGTCAGACCAAGTTAGAGGTCAGATCTGTGGAGAGACGACCCCGCTCACAGTCAGAATACTCGTGTTTCTAGATACTTTTGAGCCATAAAACCACTTGTAATTGAATAAATGTAAGTAGAGCTGTTTAATGTCATACTGTGGAACATTCTAGGCAATGACATATCCATAGAAACGAGCAAGTGACTGACCCTCAACCAGAAAAGTTACATAATGCATCTATTTTAAACATTCTCATTATTGACATCACTGTATGCTTCACTGGCCACGTTTACATGATGTTTTTTAATAGTTCTAAATGATTCTCCTTTGAGTTTACATTGAAATAATAATTCTGAATTGAGGCTTACATGGAAAACACGTTAAATCGCCTTTATTTAATTTTACTCAACGTCTGGGGATGGGGAAGGGTTCTGATTGGACAGGGACACGAACGTATTTACGTCGACCAGAAGAAAACACACATTTCAGCTGCTACCGGCTTTTCTGTTGTCTCGGTTTGTCGTTACGCCACGGATACAAACATGATCCAAACTTTTTTCGCGGATGTTTCGATGATAATGAAGCAGCAGCTGGAGAATTCTGTCATCGCTCTTTACGTCTGTCAACTGAGGAGAAGGGAAGAGTGTCGGAGAAGGAGGAAGAAGACAAACTGAGTCAACGGCTGCTCTACCTCAGCCCACTCCCACATCCCGCTCACAAATCCAAAGAGACGTGGATGAAAGTCGAGAAAGTCAGATCGTCCAAATTGCGTCAGAAGAGCGACCCAGCGAGCATGTACTGAATGTCCCGAATAATTTTTAAGAAGAAACGTTTACATGATCGAGGAATAAATTAATTTGGCTTTAAAATGTGAACAAACCACCCACTTACTTCATTATAATAATCATTTATCATTAGGAATTAAGTGTTTATATGGTCTTTTTTTTTTAGAGTGGAATTAATTTTTATTCAGAATTAAATTATTTTTATTCGGAATTAAATTATTTTTATTCGGAATTAAATATTTTTATTCGGAATTAAATTATTTTTATTCGGAATTAAATTATTTTTATTCGGAATTAAAGCTCTCATGTAAACGTGGCAAATATTAAGGCCCTCAGCAAAAAAACAACTTAAACTAAACTAAAAACTAGTAACAGATGCATTTAAGAACCTACACTCTCCGTGTTGGTGCAATAAGTCACTCTAGAGTTTTGAGCTGTTATAATATCATTGTGTCTACCTTATAATTATCATTGCGTCTCGGAGTTACACTGATTTCGTTATATACAGTTGAATTGCTGCTTGTTTTCATTATGTCCAGTCCACGAGGCAGTGCACATGGATAAACTGTCTGCTTCGGGACATGGCTCACTTCCTGTTCGGTCCTAAATCTTTCTTTTCGTTTTCTTTTTTTTTTTTCTTTCAGAGGGAAATGCAGCGTGGCTTTATTGAACGAGACTGAAGCTGTTCTCTCGTATCTCGACAAAGAGGTGAGGAAAATAAAACTGACATGCTCTAAACCTCTTTCGCTTCAATGTAAAATGTGTTACAACTGCAATTAAAAAGCGGAGGGTTTTTATAGCGCTTCCAAAACGAAAACAACTTTACTGAATTAATTATAAACGTGTCCTGTGACTTCAAATATTCAACAGTCTGGTTTTAGTGATTTCCTTTTGAGCTTTTACTACTCACTAATGGGAATAGCATTTTTTATTGTATTTTAAAGGTAGGATACACAACTTTCTTTTTGTAAGTAGTAAATTTGTTATAAGACCACCGTGCACAGATCGATCAAGTATTTTATTGATCACAAACAAAAGTTTCTCCAGTTTTGCTTCGTCGTCTGAAAAAAGTTGCTCTGAAAATGAATTTATGTGAAGATTAACAATCTTCCAAAGGTTTTGTGAGAGAATCCGTGTATCATTTGTTCATTCATTTTTCAATATAAAACCAAACATAAGAAAACCAAAAAAAAAAAAATGTTTTCTGCCTTATTTGTCTCCAAAACCAAAATGAAAAAACGGTTTGTTTTATCAGTTTCCGAATAATGGAAAAAACGGATAACGGTTTCCTGTTTCCGTGACTTAAACTTCGATGCTGGACTTTTGCGCTGCATACGGACTGAACCAGGACTGAACCAGGTCCGACCAGACTGGGACCAAGACCGGGACCGGGACCAGACCAGGACTGAAAACGGTTCAGTCCTGGTTCAGTCCATATGCAGCGCAGAAGTCCAGCATCGAAGTTTAAGTCACGGAAACGGGAAATGGTCATTATCCGTTTTTTTTCCCCCATTCTTCATTTAAACACAAAATCGAAAACAGAAAGAACTAATCGTTATCCTTTTTTTTCATTTTGGTTTTGGAGACAAATAATGAAGAAAATTGTTGTTTTTTCATTTTCTTATTTTTGGTTTTATTTTGAAAAACAAATGAACCAACGGTACATGGATTTGAGAGCTAGAAAAGATTTAAAGGTGCATTGTGTAACTTTTCTAGTGGAGGGTCTGGCAAATACTTTTCTCCATCGAAATGTTTTTGCTTTGTCTGGAATGTTCCACAGTATGGCATTAAAGGTTTCTATCTTCACGGAGACCAAACCAGACTAGGAATGTGCAAAATTATTGCAATATCCAAATTTTGTATCGTTTAATGTGATGATACAGTATCGATATCATGGGCTTCTGTATCGATATATCGTCAGGAGTATTTTTTTGTATATTTTACTCAATTAATTTGTTACAGCGCTACAGTTTTGTTGCTTGTCTAGGGGAAGGAAACTCGTTTATGCAACACACTTGACCTTTTCACTGTTCTGATGAGTAAAATGTTTGTTTCATATGAACTTTGCACAAGAAGTGGTTGAACAAAACTATGATTTTAAACATTTATTTGAATAAGAAAAGGTTTAACATTACATATTGCGAAAGAGAAAATATGGAGATGCTGTTGAAATTTGTCAATAAATATTTAGTTTGGCCCACGACTTAGTCCCAGTTTTTAATTTTGGCCTCTGTGAATTTGAGTTTGACACCCCTGGTTTAAATACTTGTTTCTTCCTTTTGGGGTTTGAATATTGGATAATGTCGCTTTAATTATATATTCATTATAACGCTGTAAGTAATAAGTAAAAAATCAAATTTAATTCTATGCTCAGAAAGCTCCATTTTGGACATTGGTGTCATTTTAATGAACCTTTCCCAAAAATACCAAAAGTGAAGAACCGTTTTATTTGTCAGGGAATAAAATATATACAGCAGAAGAGCAGAAGATCTACATGTTTTGAATACATTTGCATAGATTTGTTTTAAGAGTCTAATTTACAGTGTCCTTCCAACGTTCTTGAGTCTGTAGATAAATGATACAGTAGTAGGTCATTGTTAAAACCATTTGAAATATGTAGAGTGTTACCAGGCCAAATTCTGACACAGTTTTGGTGTGAAGAAATAGATTTTTGAAACCAATAGTGAAATGTTAGTTCACATTATTCACATTATCACCTATCCAAGGGTTTGAAGGATGGAAAAATAGGCACCATATAGGGATGTACAGAAACAGATACCAGTATCGAGTATCGCCCTGAAACTTCCTTAATATACTCGTACTCATTAAACATTTGTCGATACTACGCACCAATTACACTATTATACGACACATCATGCAGTATCCCGGTTTCAGTATCCCAAATCAGCTAGTATCCTAGTTATGAGAAACTGGGATAAATAAAGTGACAATACATGAGTGAAATGACTGTGTGAATGAGCTGTGCTGCGTGATATACACACAGAACAGACTCACCATCAGCAGAACACCCCTCTGTCACAGAAAGAACACTCATATTCCACTGAGTCGTGTCCTTTAGTCCAACAGAAGCTGAACTGCATCAGCGCACAAGGAGCAAGTTTTTTTTTTTTTCAGGACTTATAGTTTATGCAAATGAGCCATGTGGTTTTAAGTTTAATTTTTGTAAAGCATAAACAAATGTGCTCAAAGCTGTAGTAAACATTTTATGATTTGTTTGTAATTTTCCTGGTTTATTAAATATATATTTTTTGCGCTGCACATTTGTAAGATCATGTCAACAAACCCGGATACTACATTTGATCATGTACACAGGAATATGAGTATCCTGTTTTCTCAGTAAACATGTAAACAGCATATCCCAAATACTCCAATAACCGGGATACTGAGTTGCATGTAAACACAATCAGTGTATGTTCATGGGGGGAGGGGTTAAAGTATCGGTATCGGTGCTCAGCATCAGCAAGTACAGAAATAATTATACTCGTACCGGTTTTCAAATAAGTGGTATCGGTGCATCCCTAGTACTAAAGCAATCAACAACAGTGTAAAGTCTCAATATCGCCTTATAAAATAACTGAAACCTATAATATATTATGACTTTTAATCAATTTCTCACTAAACAAAAAAAAAAAGTATGATTTTCTTTGCCTAATTGACATAATACCATAAATATGCTTTACTTTGCTATACTTAGACTTTTCAGGTAGTTTCTAGTTAACATTTAATTAAATTATTGCTACGTTTCGCAAAATTATCCCACCATGACGATTGTAAAATGTCTGGAACCATGACAATAAATAATATATTTGGTTTTACATTTTTTAGGATTGTATAGTAAACTCAATTCAATCAAATTAAATTCTTAAGTTTTTCCAAAAAGTACTTAATTAATTTGCTGATTGTCACTGTGCATTATATTACATTTATTCCTGGCATCTGTTTTTATTTCAGGACACATTTTTCTATTCGCTGGTGTACGATCCCACACAGAAGACGCTGCTCGCCGATAAAGGGGAGATCCGGGTGGGCCCTCGATTTCAGGCCGATGTACCGGAGATGCTACAAGAAGGTTTGTTTAGATTTATTTTGGATTTGTCTTTATGGTCGTCTTTTATAAACTGGAGAGAGTTTGATATTTGCACGTTTATCGATCTGACCTTAAATTTCCCAACATCAACTGATGGTGTCGGCTTGTTTGTTTTGTCTTAGTGATAAATGTTGTCGCACAGTTTTAGTGGTTTAAACTGGTTTAGATTCCTGTTTGGATCTTGGTTTAGTCCAGGTTCACTTCATCTAGGCCTGGTTTAGGTCCTAGTTTTAGGTCCTAGTTTTAGGCCCTGGCTTTAGGTCCCACTTTTAGGTCCCGCTTTTAGGGCTTGCTTATAGGTCCTGGTTTTAGGTCTCCTTTTAGGCCTTGCTTCTAGGTCTAGGTCTTGGTTTTAGTTCCTGCTTATAGATCCTAGTTTTAGGTCTCAATTTAGGTTTTAGGTCTTCCTTACAGGTCCTGGTTTTAGGCCTTGGTTTAGCTCTCGGTTTTAGGCCCAGCTTATAGGTCCTGGTTTTAGGTCTCGGTTTTAGGTCTCGGTTTAGGTCCTGGTTTTAGGCCCAGCTTATAGGTTCTCGGTTTTAGGTCTCGGTTTTAGGTCTTAGTTTTAGGCCCAGCTTATAGGTCCTGGTTTTAGGCCCAGCTTTATAGGTCCTGGTTTTAGGCCCAGCTTATAGGTCCTGGTTTGAGGTCTCCTTTGAGGTCTCCTTTTGAGGTCCTAGTTTTAGGTCCTGGTTCAGATCCTGGCTTAGCCCTGGTCTAGTCCTGTAGCAGTGACTTTAATTCATGGGTCCATTAGAAGATTGACGGCCACAGTTTTGAAAGCGTCGATTCAGAGACACTGGACATAAATCATTGTGACGTTGCTCAAAGACAAAAGATGAGCAAAGAATTGAATGTGACAGAAATAGAAAGTCCGTCTGGGTTTAACTGAACAACAACAGATACGAAAGTGTCAAAATATTATTCAGATGTTTGGAAATACTTCTAAAAGAATTAATTAAAGGGGCTTATTTGGAAAAAAAACATATCTGTCATATTTTTGAGAACTGGAGATGGTGAAATTGTTCCTTTTATTCTACTACAAAAATTCAGGAAATGTTGGATATTGGGACTGAGCGATTTGGGGCAAAAACATTAAACTGATTTTTCTGACAAACATTGTGATTGCAGTTTGTGTTTTAATAATAGGATTGTGTGTCAAAATGCACACGTTAAACGGAAGAAGTGACAAAAAGACTGAAAAATAAACTGGCCAACTAATACAATTTCAGAACATGTTTGTATAGATCGAAACTACAGTGTTAGCAGTTTTTATACAATACAACAGAATATTAATTATGGGACTTTTTGCCGCCTTTGCGATTTGCCAATTGCGTCCATTCTTATTCAGAATGTCCTGTTGTATTTGCAGATTCTTGTTCCAGTCTATTACACAAAATAGAAATGGAATCGTTGTTCGTAGCTATGAATGAAAAATATTTGACTGCCATGCCAGCTCTGTGGAAATACGTGAATTGTTTGAAATACGTTGTCAAATCTAAGTGCAAAGTGCCTCATCTCCTTTCTGATCTTTCTGTTCAGGTGAGGAGGACGAGAGGGACCAGTCAAAACTCGAAGAGAAACTGTGGGACCCCGAGTGTCCCCTCACCAACAAACAGATCGACCAATTCCTGGTGGTGGCACGGTCAGTATAGAACTCATTTAATTTTTTATTTATTTGAATATTAAAGCTACAATATGTAAATTTTTTGCCAATTTGCCTAAACAAAAGCCTTTTTTAAATTTTTTGTTGTGTTGCTTTGAAAAACAGAGAAAAATACATTCTTAGTGTGAGCAGACTTAACTCTAGAATCAACAACTAGCATGCTAATAGCGAACCAGCTGTACTTCTTGGTTCTCAGGTGATAAATATTATAAATTTATTATAGTTTGACAGCTCACAGCAGGCTGATTTTGGTTCTAAGAGCTGCTTTTACAACATATCTGAACTGGAGCAAAACAGATTTTACATTATGATCTTTAAAAAAAAAAAAAAGGTTACTGCCTCTTTTTAAAGGTGATTACAATATACCTCCATGCATTTATACCTTTTTGAGACACTGTAAAAGAAGTTGAAGTTGTAAATTGGAAATGGCCCATAACAATAAGGCTTAAAATCTTTATAATCATGATCTATTTGGACTGAACAATCTATAGTTTTGGATTGAAAATCGCAATCTCAGACAGTATGATTTTGGGAGCGTCAAAGCAGTGTTTTTTGTAGTGCTCCTAAAGCCCAATTTAAGGGCGAAGTTTAATTACTCGTCGACTCAACACACACTGCTCTTGTCGCCGTTGTTTTAGATTTATTGGTCGAGGTCTATGCGTCATGAAGTAATCCACCACCACAACACAAGGAGGCGAGGATTTAAACCTGGCATTTGTGTAAAGTTTAACATGAACCATCTCCAACGCGATAGAAGCACAAAATAGACTCACCATCATCATCAGCACATCCTCTGTTACAGGAAGAACACTCATATTCCACTGAGTTGTGTCCTTTAGTCTGACAGAAGCTGAACCTCATCAGCGCACAAGGAGCGAGCTGTTTTTTTTCAGCGCTTATAGTTTATGCAAATTAGCCATGTGGTTTTAAGTTTTGTTTCTGTAAAACGTAAACAAATGTGCGCAAAACTGCATTAAACACATTATTACTCAATCTATAATGAAAGAAAGGAAAGCGGAGTACAGGAAATGTATGTAGAGCGGTGGTAGAGAGGACCAATCACAGTCCTTGTTGCTTGTGTAAATTGGTCTTTACGGTCCAGCGTCAAATCGTCGGTGCAGGACTCTGGTTTGATGTAAGTTTCTGTGATGTTTGCAAATGTTCATGCGCACTGAAACTTGATTTGAAAAAAAGTGTGGATAAAAACAAATGCCAGAAAAATCGTAATTCAGGTTTTTCTTAAAATCGTTCAGCCCTATGATGTATCAAAATGAACAGTGTCTTAAACCAGGTATATGAAAATACAAAACAGATCTCTAACTATGCAGACATTTTCCATATTAGTTCTACTGGAATTATAGATTACGGAGAATTTTCACTTAAATTCGACATTCGACACCGCAAAAACAGAAATGCATAAAGTGCTGTCCTCATTTTTACTGGAAACTCAAATGATTTTCTTTATATTAGAAGCTCTTCGCACTGCTGCTTTGACCCAACCCCGGCTCTCATGATAACCTTGAGTTTCTTAGATTAAAAGTGATTCAAATGTACAAGCTTCAAGTTTGTGCTTTTAATAATCCACCCAGGCAAACTGCACGGACATTTTTGAATACATTTGCATACATTTCCATATCTTATTAAAGAGTTTTGTACATTTTCCCTCGTCCATTCTACAAAATATGCAGCACATGCTTTAGTTTCATTCAAAGAAATCAGAGCGAACTTTGTCACATTTTAAAAGGGAAACAATTTAAAGGTGCGCTGTGTAACTTTTCCAGTAAAGGGTCCACCACCTGGCTGAGTTACAGGTCAGATCTGTTGAGAGGCGCGTCTATTCAGTTAAAAAATAATGCTTGGTTTTAATTAAATTCACCTTGACTTGATTAAAAGCAAGATAGAAAGGTTTAATAATGGAATGAACATTTAGGGTCACCACGACTAGGTGTGCAAAAATATTGAAATATCGATATATCGTATCGCTTCATGTGATGATACAGTATCGATATCGTGGGCTGCTGTATCGATATATCGCCAAGAGTACTTTTTGTTATATTTTACTAAATTATTTTGTTAGAGCTACAGTTTTGTTGCTTGTTTAGAGGAAGGAAACTTTTTTTATGCAACGCATTTGACATTTTCACTGTTTCGATGATTAAAATGTTTGTTTCATATAAACTTTGCACAAGAAGTGGTTTAACAAAGACTTTTAGTATCACAGCCATGATTTAGCCTTTATTTTTATTGAACTGTATCGAATCGATTTGAAATATTTCGTATTGAATCGAAAGCTCACTGTATCGAGATATGTATCGTATCGTAGCCTATGTATCGAGGTGTGTATCATATCGGCAACTTCTTAATGATACCCAGCCCTAACCACGACTATAAGAAAAGTTACATGGTGTATCTTTAAATGCCATTTTTACACTGCGATAATGTAAACAGAATTTTAAAAGAACCTAAAAATCATTTCTTTTAGATCAGGTGTAATTAAAATAATTTAATCAACCATTCATATAGTCCAAGTTTTTCCTCTTTGGACATTTTTGAGATAATTCCACATGACAGATATTTCAAGGGTCTTTTATTCTGGTTCTTTTGATGAGAAATTGTATCACAAAGTCTCGCTTTCTGTATTAAACCAGCTCACCCCGCAGTTTGGAGCTTTACTGACATGTTCTGAAATAGGGCAGCAACTACTGATCAACAAATTGTGACTTGTCGACTTAAAAAAATAATTGTAGTCAAATTTTTATTGTTGTTATATGGACCACTACAGGCTCAAACTCGTATCAAAAGCCAATTTTATGAGAAACCCCAAAATGGCAAAAAATATGAATTATTATTGCTTTGTATTTGTAAATATTCTCTATCTAGAAGCCTTCAGTCACCGTATTTCAGCCTTTATTTGGTTCATAATGTATTTGAAAATGAACAGTAGAAATAATCATTTAACTCTGCTAATTGAAACAGGAATATCTGACCAGTCGAACAGTAAATTAATCTTTAGTTGCAGCCCTATTCTGAAATACATGGGTTAGTTGGAGGAGTTGTTGTTGTTTTTGAAATTATTATTCGTAGTTGTGTAATATTTATTTGAAATATGTCCTTGTCTGTGTTCCTCAGGGCGGTGGGGACGTTTGCTCGCGCTCTGGACTGCAGCAGCTCAGTCAGACAGCCCAGTTTACACATGAGCGCGGCGGCGGCCTCTAGAGACATCACACTGGTAAGTCACGCATCATTTATTTATTTTAACATATTACATAATTCAGATGAACTATTTACACTTTTGGTCTTAATTTGGAGTCATAATTTTAGACCGGGATTCCAAATTTCTCACAATCTCTGTACGCTTTGTAGCTTTATATTCGGTTAATGCCATCTACAGTGAATACAATGAATTAATAACTCATAAAATAAAGTAAAATGGGCTTTTATACAAATTTTATGAAGATGGACAAGGCAGACATTAAATCATAATGGGAAAAATAGTCAAATTTTCCTCCTCCAAAGTCTGAACTCTGCCCCAAAACACATGCTTTTACTGACACGTCATTTTATTTGAAAGGTTTACAGCGGATTCTGGCTAATGACTCAACCCAAAAGCTGTTTTATTATTTCAAAAACTGTCCTACCTGTCCTGTTTTTACTGTTTTTATGCAATCACTGTACGTTTTTATACAAACATGGTCGTCTTCACTGTTTTTGAGCCTTGTCCTTTTAGGTAGTGTTGTTCCGATACCATTTCCGATTCGATTTCGATACTTGGCCTTGGCGTACTCGCTGATTCCGATACCATAGTGTAAAGAAAAGGCTAATTTTAAAGAAATGCAAGAATAAATAAGTTTTCAGGACTAAAATATGTTTGAAATCTTACCTTTAGAAGCTCCTGTTCTGGACTTTTAACTAATAAAAAACTCCCCTGAAGCTCACTCCCTCTCTGTGTTTCTAAACTCTCCTAACATTTCCTCTTTTCCCATGTGTAGTTTCACGCGATGGACACTCTTCACCGCCACAACTACGACCTCTCGAGTGCCCTGAGCGTGCTGGTGCCCGCGGGGGGTCCGGTCCTCTGTCGAGACGAGATGGAGGAGTGGAGCGCTTCGGAGGCCGCCATGTTCGAGGAGGCGCTCGAGAAGTACGGCAAAGACTTCAACGACATACGGCAAGACTTTGTAAGTACACGGGAACTAAACAGTGATTACAGCTGAATATTTAATTGGTAATGTACATGGTTTTGAGTAGGTATGGTACAATATTCAAATTTGATGTCACGGTTAAAATTATTATGATTAACCATTTATATCACGATAATTATTAAAGTTACCCACAGTTCAAAAATTTTATGGATTTGATTAATTATACTTTTAATATTAATAAGTTCCATATTTTAACTAGTGTTACAGAATTGTACTTTGTTATGAGTGAAAACAACAACAATGTAGAGAAAAACATCAAGGATAAGTCACTTTTTCCTTAACATTCTGATGGTAAAATGGCGATTATCTTCTTTGACGATTATCACGATTATAGAAATGTCCCACGAACAATTATTATTATTGTTTATTGTCACTTCCCCAGTTTTGAGAGCTCATTGATTTTGGCAAAATGTCTAATTGCAATTTTCTTGTCAAGGAAGATTTGTGATTTAATTTAGAATGGTAGATTTATTTCCAAGTTCAGCGTAAACATTTGAAAGAACTGCTTGTCTTGACTTCAGAGTTACCAGATTTTAAAAATGAGGCAGGACTTTTTGAAAGTTGTTAATTACTTGCAGTCATTGGGATTTGATAATAGTGACCATTTAAACAGCAATCTAGATTAGAGCTAGACCGAGATATCAGGCCAATATTTACACTTTTAAGAGTATCACAATTGACCTTAAATCTCCAGTACAAGATTTTTGGGGGGTCAAACAGCTGCCTAAAAAGTTACATAAGAGAACACTGCACAAAAGGTGACTTTATTTCTCTCTTATCCAGTTTGTAGTAAAACAATCTCGTCATGAGATTGTACTAAATTCAAATGACATATTTCGGGAATTTTTTTTTTTAAAACATCCCAAAATATGAGCAGAGTTTATCAGCCATTGGTTTCTCTGGATTCAAAACAATCTGTATCTGCATCAGCCATTATTGAACCGTATCGAATTGATTTGAAATATATCGTATCGCATCGAAAGCTCACTGTATCAGGATATGTATCGTATCATGACCTGTATCGAGGTCTGTCATCATCATCATCATCAACTTTATTCCAGATTCATGGTCCATTTTAAGAAACAGACAAGGACAGTGACAATACAAAAGAATAAACATTCATGTTTTTAAAAGACAACCACACCAGTGTTTCCACATACTGGACTGATATCTTATTGCACTGAATCTCATATTTGTGAGTGACATTATCATTTCATTGTCTGATTTGTTCAGTCTGCAGATAAAACTGTACATTAAAATTCTTAGTGCAGCTTGCAAAGTGTTCACTCGTTATTGTTATGTGTCGTAACGGCAACTTTTTTATGATCCCCTGCCCTAATCAGAACACTGAAAATGTTAAGTTTTCTTCCTCTAAACAAGCAACAAAACTGTAGCGCTGTAACAATTATTTAGTAAAGTATACCCAAAAATACTCTTGGCGATATATCGATACAGCGATATACAATATTTTTGCACAACCCTATTCACACAGTACTTCAGTTTGACCTGGTTTTATTGTTCTGCCTTTTCTGTTCTGCCTCTAATTCATCAATGTCCAGAATCACCAAGGTCTCGAGCCGTCACTGTCACCTCTGTGAAATCTGGGTCAGTGTTTTGTGGTGTATAGATTGAGCCGTGCCCACTGCCACTGTTCAGAGAAAGCACATTATATAGGCCTCACAATATAAAGTTAATGACGATTTTTAAGCATTTAAAGTAACACTGTAATGTGAAAGCCTAACAAATTGAACTCCTTTCTACTTTATAGAAAATTAAAGCCAGTGTATGTAACATTTTGGACAAAGTATAGGCTAAAATGAAATCTTTTTGTAGTCTTACACGCTTACTGTGAGCGGGTTTGCATTTCCACAAACTTGACTCCTGACTTTATAATATTACACAGTATGTCATAAAACTTGTCTATTAGGGGTGTAACTATATCCAAGTCTCGCGATACGATATTCTCACGGTATGAACCTCACGGTACGACATTTATTGTGATATCGTGGAAAACCTCACGATATGGTGGGGAGGCTCACAATTAGGGATGTAAAGATATCCAAATCTCTCTGTACGATATTTTTACGAAATACATTTCATAGTACGATATTTATTGCGATATTTTCTGGATGTTAACAAAACTGTTATTATGCTACTTTTTCCTCTTAAAATGCCTTGACAAGACTTAATCCAAAGAAGTAAGACTTAAAAGTGCTTCGAAGTGTTATTTCTTCTTGTAGTCTGCACTGAAATGGAGCAAAGGATCATGGTCTATGTAGTTCCCTTTGACGATACGATATCACGATATTTCGGTTATTGTTACATCTCTATTATCTATCTCCATGGAGAATGTTCTGAACTATGGCTTAAACTTTAAATTTCTGTGGAATCAGAAATTTTACATACTTTAGCTTTTAAGTACTTGTACAAATTTGGGGAAAGGGATTCTGGTGCATCTTAATTAGGCCAATGCCTCAGTATATAAAAGTGCTAAAATAACAAACTTACAACTGAAACAATAGATTACAATGTGAGGAAATTTAAAAAAATACACAAAATTAAAGATTGTGATACAACAAAAATATAAAATACATTTGAAATAGAACTGGGTTTGGACTGGTTGTGGACCTGATTGTGGATTTGGTTTGGGACTTGTTTTAGTTGAAATATAGTCCTGGTTTGAGTCTAGTTTGTTTTGTTTGGTGCTGATGTTAAATCTGGTTGGCCATTAAGTGGTTCTCAGTTGAGACTTGGTTAGGGACTTGGTTTGGGACCTGTTTTAGTTGAAATATAGTCCTGGTTTGAGTCTAGTTTGTTTTGTTTTTTGTGCTGATTTTAAAACTGGTTGGCCATTAAGTGGTTCTCAGTTGAGGCTTGGTTTGGGACTTGGTTAGGGACTTGGTTTAGTCCAGATTGTTTTAGGAGATAAAAATATACACAAATCAATTAGAAAGACTGTGATAATACATTTGAAATAAAACTCAAATTCATAAACTCACCAGAAAAGTGGATTTTGCAAATTGTCCTTTTCCAATTCTAAATCATCAACATTGACAAAAACAAAAATATTTAACCTTTCAGAAGTCAGCAGTTATTGGAAATTACTGTTTTTTTTCTGTTTAAATGGGCAGCTGTTTGTTGTGTAGTTGCAAAATGGATCTCACCTGGAGGTTACATACAGGACAGAAATGTATAAAGGTGTTCAAAATAGACTTTGGTTGTTTCGAAATGGTTGGTTTGGTTTGTTTTGATACCAAAGTCAAAGCTGTCGACTGGTGGCTCACAATAAAGTCTTTGTCAAAACCTGAACAAAAGGAGACGATGTTTTGTTTATTTTGAAGAACGAGACACAAAGAATCTGAAGGGAAACATGTCAGCACCATCACAGCCTCTGTCCTGTGTCGGATCGTCTCAAAATGGCTCCAAAAGAGGCCGCCGTCTCACATCGACTTTTGGGAAAAATACATAAAACATCTGATCTGCTATTGTGCTTTTTCTGGCAATTATGCAGTAAAATTGGTGCAGCGATTTCATACCTGAAGTTAAATTCTTAAAGGACAAATATTGTTTCAGTGGATCTTCGATTTAAATAGTTAAAGTTGTTTTTGTCTTAATATGTATACATTATTTTATTTTACCTAAGGGGAGATATTATGTAAATCAATTCACCAACCTATCGCCGCCCACTTCCCTGGACTTATGATTCTTCAGATTCCAGGATAAATGTTGCACACTTATTTTAACATGTGTAGTTATTTCAGCACAAATAAATCAAAGGCTTACCATATCAAATTCTTCTAATCCAGACATGTCAAACTCAGGCCCACGGACCAAATTTGGCCTGTGATATAATTATATTTGGCCCGTGAGGTCATATCAAGTATGTTTTAGAGCCACTCGCCAGCTACAGATAGACTATAGAGACATTATTTATTTAAAATTTTGTTATGAGTTTTGTATTGTGCTTGTTCTGGATTCAATGTTTAAGCAAAATAATTATTAAACATTTATTTTAATAAGAAAAAGTTTAACATTACATATCTGTAAATTTGAGTTTGACCCTCGTTCTAATCCTTCAGTTTTACTTCACCCAAGAAGAAAAATAAGTTAAGTTACTTCAGTAAGAATCAGTTTTGTGACCATGGAGGCATTTAGGGTAAAAACAACTAAATATTTTATCAGAAGTGCCTTTCGTTTAGACGGTGAAGATGTTTTTGGGTCTCAAAAACGTAAAAATCTGAAACCATCGTCCAGAGTGGAAAAGTTGAATACACTCCTCCGTAGTGTTTCCATCTACACTGCCCAAGACTCAAAACTCTGGTCAGATCTGCTCACGTCGCGTACACGTTTACATCACATACATCACCACTGAGCCGCCTGGCATGCATAAACAATCAAATTCCACACACTTTTGCATCACCGTATGCACACAGATTTCCTCCCGAAAACTCTTGACTAAACGCGGAATAAAAAGTGAAGATGTGACACCACTTTTCCATCTTCTGTTCAATCCCTCATCCTATAAACATAGCTTTATTTTACAGTAATTTTAACTTCTGGCAACTCTATACCCAAAATATTATTGTTACCATAATGTTCTGTAGTTTGGTATTAAACTTTTATTTTTCATTGATTCTGTCAAATTCAATTAGATTTGTAGCTAAACAAAACAAAAAAAAACCTTAACATGCCTTCTTACTGTGAGAAACTTGGCCTGTTATCGCCATGGAGACGGGTCATTTTAATGTCGATCATTTGAAAGCAAAGCCGTAACATCATGGAGATGACCAAGTGACTGACCTGCCAAAGAAAAGCTAAAGAAAAGCATAAACCCAATATCTCGCTTTTAGTTTAAATACTTTTTTTCCAAGCAAAATGAATCTGCCAACTTTATAATACACTTGGGAAAAGAAAAACCTGATTTAAAGGTGCACTGCGCAACTTTTCCGGTGGATGCTTGCCCTCTGTTTGTCTTCACGGAGGTGTTAAGACTGTAATGTTCCACAGTGATGGTAATAAACGTCTATCACCATGGAAACAGATGGTCCATCAGGTTAGCTCTTGGGGGCTGTGGAGTCAAATAAAAGACGTTCAGACGGTGGACGGGTGCAGCAGGTGCCCATGAATATTTATTAACGATCAGAATCACTGTGGCGCAGCAAAGATGGCCGACTGCATTTAAATACATTATAGGCCTGGAGGGGAGTGTGTGTGTGTCGATGTGTGTCGATGTGTGTCTGTGTGTGTGTCTGTGTGTGTGTGTGTGTGTGTGTGTGTGTGTGTGTGTGAACATGTGAATGCAGATCAGGCAATAAACACATTTGTCTCAGGGAAGTTTGAGAGTCGGCCAAGGAAGTGTTTCTCAAAGTTTAGATCTGCTTTAGACTTGGGTTTAGAACTTGTTTAGGCCTTGGTTTGAACCTGGTTTGGGACCCGAAGTTGGACCCGAAGTTGGACCCGAAGTTGGACCCGAAGTTGGACCCGAAGTTGGACCCGAAGTTGGACCCGAAGTTGGACCCGAAGTTGGACCCGAAGTTGGACCTGGGTTTAGTACTTGCTTTAGGACCTGGTTATAGTCTGGTTTTAGGACTCAGTTAAGACTAGGTTTGCACTGGTTGTGGACCTGGTTTAGTCCAGATTGTTTTAGTTGAAATATAATCCTGGTTTGGTATGGGGCCTGGGTATGGGGTCTGGTTATTAGCTATTAGACTAGGTTTGGATTTGTTTTAAGACTTGGTAAAGACCAGATTTACACTGGTTTGAAATCTGGTTTAGTCCAGATTGCATTAGTTAGAATATAGTCCTGGTTTGAATCTAGTTAGTCCTGATGTGAGTTTCGTTTGTTTTGTTTAGTGCTGATTTTAAAATTTGTTGGACAAGGACGTGCTTCTCAATTAAGACCAGGTTTGGGACCTGGTTTGGAGCTTGGTTTAGCTGGTTTGGTCCACATTATTTTAGTTGGAATGTAGTCCTGGTTTGAGTTTAGTTTGTTTAGTTCTGATTTTAAAACTGGTTGGCCATTAAGTGGTTCTCGCTTGGGACCGGGCTTGGGACCGGGCTTGGGACCGGGCTTGGGACCGGGCTTGGGACCGGGCTTGGGACCGGGCTTGGGACAGGGCTTGGGACAGGGCTTGGGACAGGGCTTGGGACAGGGCTTGGGACCGGGCTTGGGACCGGGCTTGGGACCGGGCTTGGCTTAGTTGGAATATAGTCCTGGTTTGAGTCTAGTTTGTTTTGTTCAGTCCTGATTTTAAAACTGGTGGGCCAAGGAAGTGGTTCTCAGTAAAGACCTGGTCTGGGACGTGGTCTTAAACCTGGTTTGATACCTGGTTTGGGACCTGGTTTAGTCCAAATTGTTTTAGTTACAATATAGTCCTGGTTTCGGTGAATTTGTGACACACGGTAAAAAGATGTATTCAGTGTGAGTGCAGTCGCCTCTTGACAGCTTTAACTTGGTCTAGTGGCATCTTCTTGTCTCCATGGGCATATGAGTCATAATGACACACTGTGAAACATTTTATGCAAAGATAACCTCCGCGGAGACAGCTCACCAGAAAAGTTGCATAGTGCTTCTTTTAAGTAGCGATTTTTTTTTTTTTGCGAATCCCTTAGAATCCTCGTCGTCAGTTTATTTACTATGGTGACTCACGTCTTTGTCGCTGTCAGTCTCCACTCTCGTCTCGACTCATTATCTTTTGACAGCTGTAATTTTAACCTGTCAATTTCTTCAGTGTAAACACGTTTCCATAGCAACGCACTATCTAATCTATTATCTTGCCCAAGAGAGTTCAGAAACGGCCGCTATGACTCAATCCACTGATGGCTTTTTCTTAGTTGTAACGATTCAACATTTGGATGAACTTTTACAACATAATAATGGTAAATAATAGTTTTAGAACTGACATACCATACTTTTCAGAATATATGGCGCAATATCAATAATGTTGAATTCTCTAGTCTATTTTCATACATAAGGTACACTGAATTATAAGGCGTATTATGCCAAACAAACGGACGAACACTTGAGATTAATCCCTTAACCCAGGCGTCCAGAGGTCAGTAAACACAACCAGAAATAATGCAGAAGGCTAATAAAATAAAATAAGGCTAACCCAAAACAAGATACATAGGTCTCCAGGAAGAACAGTTGATAGTTAAGGTCAATTAAATAAAATCAATCAATGAACCTGCCCAGGGACTACAAGTGGAAATTAGTGCTGATGCTACAACCTGGTACAAGCATCTCTCCTGTTAAGTTATGTAAAAAATATGCACTGTCCCTGTCTCATTAAATAAATAAATACATAATAATATTAATACAAAAGGACATAAGGATTATAAGGCGCACTGTCGATTTTTGAGAAAATTATTGGATTTTAAGTGCGCCTTATAGTCCGAAAAATACGGTAGTTTCTAGAATATTTAAGGTCAAATTAAATAAAATGATCATATAACTTGCATTGTATTATCTAATGTAAACTGTTTATCATAGAGAGGGTGAAGAAAAGGATTAATTTTTCAACCAGGCCCGTCGACAGAATTTTGGGGCCCAGGGCAAGAAGCTTCATATGGGCCCCGCTAATGTAAACGAATCCTGCCCCCCCTCCCCTGATTACAACCAAAGCAAAACTGCAAATACTCCCATTATATACTTTGGTTTGTTTTTTTAATACCTTTTAAAAGTTTTGGCTTGTAGAGATTAGTGTATTTTTATCTGTGTTTGATTTTTGTTGTTGAAGATTTGTTTTTGTTTTAAACAGTGACAATAAATGAGCTGCTCAAAGACTCAACTACAATCACTATCAAAGCTCAGCGGCAGGTTTTCAGTGCCAAGATTAAAAACAATAGGTGAAATGGAACTGGAATGAAAATTTTGGCACACTTGGCCTGTCAAGACAATTTTCTCAATATTTTGTTCCTTTTAAGATTCTTCTGAGTGTCTAAACCTATGAATTTAAATAAAATCTCGATGCTTGTAATGTGATCCAATGTCCGTGAAACACATTCTCATGTTTTTTGCATACGACTTTCACTCCCACATTTGTAAAAACTGAAATATTAATCATTTCCTCTCCTTCTCTTCCCCTTCCTTCCTGTTTTGTGTTTTTGTCCATATTTGGGCGTGTGCAGCTGCCCTGGAAGTCTCTGACCAGTATCATAGAGTACTACTACATGTGGAAGACTACCGACAGATATGTGCAACAGGTGAGCCATTACAAATATTCAGAACAAATATTTATTAACACTTAGACTTTGTCCTTTCAATAAAATGCTGTGTATTCCTTAAATCTAAAAACTAAACAACAAACGCCCAATTTAACACACAAAATGAAAGCGGGTCAGCTGTAGTTGTGACTGAAATAATTCTTGACTATTTTTATAAGCGTTAACAAACAATACAGACACTAAAAACCTTATAATGAAGGCAGCAGCAGCATTCTTCAAAATATCAAAAGAATAAACGCTTTGATTTGAATGAATATCCACTTGATTAGGAATTGTTCTTTCTAGAAACCTTCAGGCAACAAATCCACTTTCATCGGGTTAAAAATGCTTTAAAAATCCCAATTTGCAATAGAAAAATAAACAAAACATTTGACTAGTCGACAAAAAATGATCGCTCACTATTAGTCTACTGAAATAACTGTTAAACCAACATTATATTTTTTATCAAATTTGCAAAGTTAGTAAACAAAATTGTCTTATTTGGAACTACACTACAGTAAGGATTAAAATGTTAATCGTGGTGTGTCAGTATATCTGTGTTTTTCTGTTTTTGTTGACTTTTATGTGAAGCTGAAGTTGTTTTAAATATGCTGTATAATTAAACTTGATTTGAATTTAATCAAAATGAAGAAAAACTAATAATTCAGACCAAACTTTTTCATATTAGTTCCAATGGAATTATTCATTGTGGAGAATTCTGACACTTCCGGTAGAGCGAAAAGACAGACACAAATATATACAAAAAAGTTCACATTTTAAATCATTCCAGGAGAATTGACTGAAATATGTTCTGACAAACTAATAAAAGAACCACATTTCAGAACATGTGTGTGGTGTTAACAGTTTTCATGCAGCATAATAACAGGATATTTTGCAGTTTGTGGAGGAAACTATACTTCAAATATTGTGTCTCCTTTGGAAGCAGATGTCCCCGCTTGGATCCTTTTACTAATACAATTTTAATATCAGTTTGGCTCGAAATCACTATCAAACATCTGTCTCCTACCATATAAGGTCGATGATAACGCTGAGCCTCATTCATGAATCTTTTCTTTAAAATGTTTGTAATTTCTACTTTAAGAAAATGCAGAGAGAACTCAAAATGAAAGTGTTCTTAAGCTCCCAAATTCCTTCTTAAGTGACAGTTGCGCCTAAATCACCAACACCCAGCTACAAACCATGCTCATTTACAAAAAAAATGTATATGTATTTAGTTAGAAACACCTTCTCAACATCCGTATATGGCCAATATGGGTTTGGTATTATGACATGTGAAAGTACGAGGGAGCGAGTGAGGAGGAAGTGAGGTGGAGCGTCTACAGACTGTGGCCGTTTTACAGCTTCAGCGTGGATTTCAAATGTCAAAACTCGCAAGAACACGCTCAGTGAGGGAATATTTAAGTCATAAAGTTATTGAAATAAGCCGGCACTTGTCATATTTATCGCACTTTCCGTGAGTGTGGACCTACGGTAAATGGCGAGGGAGGGGGGAGGGCTGGAGTAGGGATGCATAAGGGTGCGCTCTGGTCATGAGGGGTCAGGAGGGTAATGGGGGTGATGAGTCCAGCGCGGTGACCAGGCTCAGGGCTATAACAGAGGCCCATATGGAGAGCACTGGGACTGGGACAGACTGAGACTCACTGCAGTCTGTATAAAGTCTGTTAGACCCAGTAGACCCCATAAAACACCTCATAAATGTTACTGGATCACATAGAAAAAGTTTTGTGAATACTGAAAATGTTCGTTAGAAGGTCTTAAGTACAAAGCAGTTCACTAGTTTGCCAAATTATAATATTATAAAACTATTCTGACCAAAAGTCTATATCTGTTCACTGTATTGTTGACTGATGTGGCATTCAAAAAGTGCTTATTTCTTTTCTAATATTCTGTGGTCATATTTCTGGTCTGTTTTCACCTGTCAGTCTGAAGTGTGGTTTTTAATGATGTGATGTTTGTTTGTTATAGAAGAGACTGAAGGCGGCGGAGGCAGAGAGCAAACTGAAGCAGGTCTATATACCCACATAGTAAGTACTGAACTCTCCCTTAAAGATGCACTATGTCACTTTTAGGTTGGAGGTTTGTTACCTGCTTGTTTCTATGGAGATGTCATCATTGCTCTGCCTGTAATGTTCCATAGTATGACATTTGACAGCTCTACCTTACATTTATTCATTTACAGGTGGATTTATGGCTCAAAAATACCTAGAAAAACGGGCATTCTGACATACTGTGCTATTCAGTTGTAAACAAAAGCATATGAGAATTTTGTATGGCAAGATATGACATTTGACATACAATATACACATAAAATATCTGTATTTTTACACATTCTCATAAAAATATAGATATAAGCAGGATGTATAATGTGATATCCATCAAATACATGGGATTCTTGTATTTATCGATTCATGTTTGTTTTCTCTCAAATGTTACTGATTTTAGATTTGTGCATAATAATTTGATAATTATGTAATGTTTATGGGTTTCAAAAGCTACTATAGGCTCTATTCACGCTTACTAGAAGAAGTTTGGAAACATGCGGATGACGACTTCCGGTGTAGTTACGGACACTGGGCATGTGATAAACCCGTGGATTCAGAAGCAACGTCTTCACAACCTGCCAAAACTTTCCACGGGGGATGTGACTCTAATCGTGTCTTCGGTGTCACTTACAGGCAGCTGGTTTTAACTGTTGATCTGCTTTGTCAAATTATAATACATAAATGAATAAGCAATTTATAAACGGAGAAAAAAAAAAGTGAGAATACAATGACATCTAGATGAAGAAAACCGGTCCCCATCGCTAACAGAGCCCGAAGAAAGTAGTGATTTTAATGTTTTTTTTTTATGATTCATTATTTTTTATTATAATTTATTTAACAAATACAGTAATCAACACATCAAACACACACGCACAATTTTATGGCTCCCTTATTTTGCTATTTTGGCCAATGAATATAATTTAAATTCCTTTTCTCTCTCTCTCACTCCCCACATTTTTTAGTAAACACGTTCATCAACATTTTTTGTCGTTCAAATTTTTCCAAACGTCTTCCAGGTTTGTGATGTAAACGTGAATAGAGCCTATTGTGTTTTAAATTGTTAATCTCTATGGAAACTTATCTTAATTTTTCCTCATAATGAAACCGATGGATGGCTTTCGTTTAATCAATTAAAGAAGTTGTATCGTGTACCAAATATCAAATATGTCCGTTGTAGTTTTGTCCTAATCGTCCGTTCTTCCTCCTGTGACAGTAACAAGCCGAACCCAAACCAGATCTCGATGACCAACGGGAAGATGGCGACGGTGAACGGAGCGGGGCCCGGGGCCTTCCACACAGCGGGCGGCGGGAGAGCCTGCGAGAGCTGCTACAGTAAGTACAACATGACAACTATAAAATGTATTTATTTATAGAAAATGCAGCACAATTACTTCAGAGGAGAATGTGACAGTGAATGAAACTGAAAACACACAAACCAACATTCTTATAGAGGTGCTAATTGAAGGAGCAGCAATTTAAACTTGAAAAAATGCACATATGCCATCTGAGTGTGCTGGGTATTTTTTCACTTTCAGTCTTCATCCAATTATCAAACTTTTTCTTTTGCAAACTTGCGAGAAAGAGCCCTGTGAGTCACTATGACATTTTTGGGGTGAGAGCGGATTGGCTCAGCAAAGATGGTCCTCCCTGGTTCACTTCTCCTTTTGACTAGGCGACTTTAAGCTGTCTTGACTTTCAGAGAGCAAGCCTTTGGGAAAAAAAAAAAAAAAGCAAGTGACCCAGCACCACAAAAATGTTTCGAAAGTAAGCAATATATCAAATGTTTCAGGTCACTTCCCAAAATAAGACCTCCAAAGTCGCTGTAAAGATGTGGGCTTTGCAACTCTGTGCGAGCTAGAAAGATGTTAGATTCAAATACCTGCTTCTGTCATGGTTTGAAGCTTTAATATTGCAATGCATGCGTTTTGCTTTAAACTTAAATCTCTTCAAAATAAATATTCCTTCGGCTGTATTTCTTTTTCTAAATAAATATAGTGAATTATGGCCTGCACAGTAAAGTATCCATTTATATATACTTACACTAAAAACAAGCCACATGGTAACCAAACCGAGGGAGCACATATGGACTTAAGATCACGACTTTGGGCAGTGAGAAATGACCTGGATGCCCCGCCACGCCCAGATCAGACCGAGGCATTTAGGACGCAGCCATGTTTCCACGACAACAGCTGTCAGTCTTCAGCCCTGAGCCATCTCTCCTCTCGGCGTCCGTAGATCTGCCGTCTTTATCGTACCCTGCAATTTCACTGCATTCAACATGGATGTACTTTTATTATATATAGTTCTTGGCCTGCAGTGCCATTTTTGTAACAGTAGGGGGCGAGTGAAAGAAGAAACATCTCTGGAGTATAAAATTACCATCTTCTGTCACATTTATAGAGCAAAGTTTAAATTAGAACTTTTAAACCAACTTAATATGTAAAGATAGATAAATAAACAGATAAAGTAGATTCATTATTTATTAGCAGATAAAATTTGCAGTAGTTTTCTGTAGTAGTGTGTTTTATAAATGCAGATTAGGGTTGGGCGGTAATACAGTGTTACAGTATCCCGCAACAGTAGTGGTTTCATTACCATCATAAAACACCAAAAATTTATATTGTAAATTATTGATACCTAAATTTGTTTGCTCAGCACAAATTAATGTGTGGTTGTATTTTCAATTTAATGCTATCATGATTTAAAACGAATATTATCTATAATGTTTCTTTTAACTGCGTGGGGAGATGACGTTCGATTAGTTTTGTTCTGTTGTCACGTGACACTCATAAGGGAGACCAAGACAAGACGGCAAGTCCAGCCTCAAGAGAGTTGGTGCCAAAAATATATATTTATATATACTAGTACTTCTGCAATTTGGCAGCATTTTGGCTTCAGGTGCACATTTGTTTACATTTTACAGAAATGAAACTTAAAACCACATGGCTCATTTGGATAATCTATAAAGCGCTGATAAAAACAGCTCTTTACTTGTGCGCTGATGTGGTTCAGCTTCTGTCAGACTAAAGGACACGACTCAGTGGAGTATAAGTGTTCTTTCTGTGACAGGGGATGTGCTGCTGATGGTGAGTCTGTTCTGTGTGTGTATCGCGTTGGAGATGGTTCATGTTAAACTTGTCAGATCATAAATCTGCAGGTCATACACATAGACCATATAGCGAGCCGTCTTTGTAGATTACCAAAATCATACTAAAACATTTTGGTAATACTGTATACCTCGGTAAAATCTTCTGAAGCTTTAACGGTATAAAAATTTGGATACCACCCAACCCTAATGCGTAGTCATGAACTTTGTCGTGGCACTGTAAGCATTTACCAAATATCGACTGCAAACAAAATAACTTCTCATTTTTAAAGCCCCAGTATGTAAGTTTTTATTTTTAAACATTTTTATTTTTCGTTTCGGTTGTTTTTTATTGAAAAACTTGGGCCCAGTGGGGGAGCTTGCATCTCCACAAATCTGACTGAGTTTTATTTTGCCTGGAGGAGCGCCCCATCTGCTTGTCAGTTTTTGTTTAGTTTTTTTTTTTTTTTTTTGGCTGTAATATTCCGCAGTTTACTTTGTTTTATTTCCATGCAATCATACAGATGACATGCCAGAAAGTTGCACAAAATTACAACTTCACAAACTTGGTAATTGGTATTCTAGCCGTAACAGTGGGTTTGAGCAGCATATTTCCATCTTAATGTCCCTAAACCTTCACAGCCCTTTTTATCCACCATATTCTCCAAATGTCAGAGCTTTGGTGAGTGGTGAATTAATTTCGACGGCGATGAAACACAGGCAGGAGATAAACACTGATGAGCACTGGGATTCGGGGACCTCTTGTACCTCTAACCAGCTCTAATCTCAGCCCTGTCCTCTTCGCAGCGATGCAGTCGGCGCAGTGGTACTCCTGGGGCCCTCCCAACATGCAGTGCCGTCTGTGCGTGTCCTGCTGGATGTACTGGAAGAAGTACGGGGGTCTGAAGATGCCGAGCAGAGCCGAGGGGTCCGAGGAGAGAACATCACCCACCCCCACTGGCAATGTAAGCGTCAAGGCAAGAACAGACATTTTATTACTTTTTACACAAGCGTACGGGGTTTCACAATATTTCTCTGCACAAACAAATAGAGCACCCAAGTTTTAACACAGATTGATGATTGTTCTAGGTTTTTTTGGGCTATAAAATCACCTCTAATTGAATAAATGTAAGGTAGAGCTGTTTAATGTCACACTGTGGAACATTCCAGGCCTAAAATAATTCAAATATGGACGCTTCATGCCACCAGTCTCAGTATAAACCTATATTAAACACTGAGCATTAAGTGTGTGCAAAAATGTTGAAATATCAATATATCGTATCGTTTAATGTGATGATACAGTATCGATTTCGGGCGCTGCTGTTTCGATATACCACCAAGAGTATTTTTTGGTATATTTCACTAAATCATTTTGTTACAGAGCTACAGTTTTGTTGTTTGTTTAGTGAAAAGAAACTTGTTTATGCGACACATTTGACATTTTCACTGTTCTGTAAGGCTGGGTATTATTAAGAAGTTGCCAATACGATACATACCTCGATACATAAACCACGATACGATATACACCTCGATACATAAACCACGATACGATATACACCTCGATACATAAACCACGATACGATATACACCTCGATACATAAACCACGATACGATATACACCTCGATACATAAACCACGATACGATATACACCTCGATACATAAACCACGATACGATATACACCTCGATACATAAACCACGATACATATACACCTCGATACATATAAACCACGATACGATATAAACCTCGATACATAAACCACGATACGATATACACCTCGATACGTAAACCACGATACGATATACACCTCGATACGTAAACCACGATACGATATACACCTCGATACATAAACCACGATATGATATATACCTCGATACATACCTCGATACGTAAACCTCGATACGATATATACCTCGATACGTAAACCTCGATACGATATATACCTCGATACAGTGCACTTTCGGTTTGATACGATATATTTCAAATCGATACGATACAGTTTAATAAAAAATAAAGGCTTAATCATGTCTGTGATACTAAGAGTCTTTGTTAAACCACTTCTTGTTTAAAATTCATATGAAACACAAACATTTTAATCATCAAAACAGTGAAAATGTCAAATGTGTCGGAACAAGTTTATTTCTTCTAAACAAACAACAAAACTGTAGCGCTGTAACAAAATAATTGAGTAAAATATACCAAAAAATACTCTTGGTGATATACCGATACAGCAGCCCACGATATTGATACTGTATCCTCACAAAAATATATATATAATATATAATATATATAAATGATACGATATATCGATATTTTTTTTTTTTTTTTTTGCACACCCCTACTGTTCTGATGATTTAAAATGTGTGTTTTCTATTCACTCTGCACAAGAAGTGGTTTAACAAAGACTTTTAGTACCACAGCCATGATTTAGCCTTTATTGAACCGTATTGAATCAGTTTGAAATATATTATATCGAATCGAATGTGCACTGTATCGAGATGTGTATCGTATCGTGGCCTGTGTATCGTATCGGCAGCTTCTTAATGATACCCAGCCCTACTGAGCATCTATTGTTTTGAGAGGAAATAATTATTCACAACTATGAACCACATCATGACACCAAATGACAGAAGCTCCAAGCTCCACTTTTCGATCCCTGAGCCTCAAACCACTAAACGCAATACAGTTTATCATTTTCAAAGCGACTTTTTGGAGCTTTGAACTATTTTCCCTTCTTAATGACCATCTCGAAGTTGTGTTTAGTGACTCGTGCACATTTGAGTAATCGTTATAATCCTGTTTTTAAGACGAGTTTGATTCGTTCTACCCGTTTTCACCACCAACGCTATATTCTCACTGCTCCATACTTGGTTTTCTTAATCAGTGACACACAAAGGATTCAGAAGTGTCATGCAGTTATTTTTGCACGAATGAAAAACAAAGATGCTGCTCACTACGGTGATCTGTAGAGTGTTGTGCAGTAGAGCAGCTCTCTGTTGTGATTGTGGTTATGTTTTTTGGATAAATTAAGACAAAAATCAGTTTGGAGAATAGTCAAAAGAGTGAGACTAAAACTAAATAAGTTTCTTGTGTAAATTACCACCGCTGTATGTGCCGTAATAAGACTTCCTGCTCGTTGCTGTTTTGTTGAACCTGTAGTGCTGGTTATAAAAGTAAAACGCGCGACCTTTTCTTAAACAAGACCTCTTGTTTCCAGGCAACAGCAGCTTCTCTTAACTGAGGAACAACACGTCTGGACATAATGTTAAGTCATATGTATTTTAAACTGTGATTCCAGTTATTGCTCTATTCAGTTAATAAATACATAAGAAAATGAAATGGAAATTACAATTAAATAAACTCATGTTGAGAATGTATGCTTGAACCTTAAGCAAAAACACTTTTATAACACACAGCGGCTTTGAAAAAGATTGGGTTCATTCTTTCTTTACAGGATCAGGATTTTGATTGTTTAAAAGAATAATTATTTCAGTTTCAGCCTAAAAAACATGGTTATTTTTTTTTAAATATATGATTTAAGCAGCTCTACATGTGCCCACTGTTTTAATTCCCAATGCACACATGAGCAAACGCTGCCAAAAAGTTTTAAGATCATCTGACAACTTGAGTAAAAATGAAAAATGGAGCTTGTGATCAGTAGTGTTCATGATTCTGTTTAGGAGTTCGATTTTCAACAAAAAGGTGAGAGTGACTGATAGAAAAACTTGATGTGATTGTGATTTTATGAGAGAGATTTAACAGCATTAATCATCTCATCTGTTGTAGATCCAGCTAAATAATTTCTTTCTGGTCAAATTGTGTTCAAACAAAACTCAGATTAAAATCTTATCTGAGTAACAGAGCTTCAGACTAGGGTTGGGTGGTAATACGGTATTGCAGGATCCCGCGGTATCAAAAAGTAACAACGGTATGAGTTTTTTTACCGTCATTAAAAAAATCTGCAGCGCATAAGAACCTAATATATATTGTAATTTATTGATACATAAATTTGTTTCCTCAGCACACGTGACAGTGTGGTTGTATTTTCAATTTAATACTATCACGATTCAAAACTAATAGTGTTTATAATGTTTCTTTTAAATGTGTGGGGAGATGATGTTTGATTAGTTTCGTTCCGTTGTCACGTGACGCTCATAAGAGACAAAGACAAGACGGCAAGTCCGGCTGCAATTCAGCTGGTCCCAAAAATATATACTAATACTTTTGTTTACATAAAGCGCTGATAAAAACAGCTCGATCTTTGTGCCCTGATGCGGTTCGGTGTATCGCGTTGGAGATGGTTCATGTGAAACTTTTCAGAAATTATAAATCTGCAGGTCGTACGCACAGACCTTAAAGCTGTGCAGCTTCCTAGTTTACCAAAGTCGTACTAAAACATTTTGGTAATAGAGTAATACCATACATCCTGGTAAAATCCTGAGAAGGCTTAACAGTCTCAAAATCTGGATACCACCCAACTCTACTTTCTGTTAGTTAGTATCACACCCCCAAGGAATGTTGATTACGTGGGCTGTAAAGTACCAGTTGTGATGTACGCTGTTGCAAAAATACACATTTCTGTATTTCATTGACACTGACATTGACTTGCTAACTGCTCTGTCTGAGGCTTTGTTCAACTTTAATCTGATCTTTTATTTTGACACAATCTGACTTGAGCTGTAACTACAACAGACGTGCTGCTAAACAAGTCCCTCTCAAATAACATTAATCAACAGTTTTTCAGTTCGTCGCTCTCAACTTTTGGTTGAAAATTAAACTCCTAAAAAAGACCATGATCGCTTGTATTGATCAGATGCTTGTAGATGTGCTGTTTAAATCCATTTTGTATTTTTTCTAAAACCTTTTTTTTGGCTGCGTTTACAAATGTATGCTTTGTGTCTCCGTGGCAACTGGTGAACTTTGTGCAAATACACATAACTGTAGAGCACCCCCAGCATAGGGTGACCAGATTTTCAAAATTCTAAACTGGGACTCACGTCGTTTAACTTTGTGCATTCTTGTGTCAGTCATAATCTGAGGGACTTCTGACGCTGCATTTTTGTGCTTTATGGTCGTTCACAAACACGGATTTCTGTATTTTGACTCAACAAATGACAATTTATGCTCCTCTTTACTCTTATCGTAGATCAGATTAGTCAAAAATCGCGATAGTCCTGTTGTAGTCCTGGTTTAATCTTAGTTTAGCCTTGATTTAGACCTGGTTTGGATCAAATTGGTCAAAAAATAGGGACACTTGGGGCATTTCTTGTTTAAAACTGGTACCGATAGAGACGTGCATATTCGACAAAAACTGCAACTGTGTGCTCGGTCCAAAGACAAAAATAGAGCAAAAAAAAAAGAAAAAAGAAAGAGATTCGCACTGCAGTTCTTCGAAGCTCCCAAATTTTAATTTCAGTGACACCACAATGTGACATTTTGAAACTTTTTTTTTTTTTTTTTTTGTACTATTTTTATATAAAACTGGGACAAATCATTGGTTTTGTTTAAATCTGCTGGGACATGGGGCACAGGACTCAAAACTAGGACTGTCCTGGATAAATATTGACGTCTGGTCACCTTCAGTCCCATTAGTCCATGTATCATTCGTTTTTCAAAATAAAACCAAAAATAAGAAAACTAAAAAAACAACTATTTTCTTCATTATTTGTCTCCAAAACCAGAATTTAAAAAAACAGATAATGATTAGTTTTTTCAGTTTTTGATTTTGTGTTTAAATTAATAATGGAAACAAATGGATAACGTTTCCTGTTTCTGTGACTTAAACTGTGATGCTGGACTTTTGCACCACATACGGACTGAACCCGGACTGAACCCGGACTGAACCGTTTTTTGTCCTGGTCTGGTCCCGGTCTCAGTCCCGGTCTCAATCACTGTCTAGTCCTGGTCCAGCCTCGGTTCCCGCTCTCAGTCCCGCTCTCAGTCCCGCTCTCAGTCACGCTCTCAGTCACGGTCTCAGTCACTCTCAGTCACAGTCTGGTCCTGGTCCAGCCTCGGTTCTGTTCCCAGTCTCAGTCCCGGCCTCGGTGCTGTTCCCGGTCTGATCCCGGTCTCAGTCCCAGTCCAGTCCTTGTCTAGTCCTGATCTCAGTCTCGGTCTGGTCCCAGTCTGGCTCCAGTCTGGTCCCAAACCTGGTTCAGTGTTTTGTTTTGTTTTTTTTCCATTTTGGTTTTGGAGACAAGTAATGAAGAAAATGTTTTGTTTTGTTTTTTCATTTTCTTATTTTTGGTTTTACATTGAAAAACAAATGAACGAATGATGCACGAATTCTCCTCCAGTTTCTCTTATTCATCTTCCTCTCTCTCTCTTGTGTTTTTCTGTGCAGGAGCCTCGTGCGCGGGGTCACGTAGCGCGTCAGTCCAATCACATGGTCCCGATGCGAAACAGCGGCAGCCCCAAATCGTCGATGAAGACCAAGCAGGCCTTCCTCCTGCAGGCCACCCGCCTCACCAAACTGGCCCGCCACATGTGCCGCGACATCATCAAGCTGCGCCGCGCCGCACGCAGACCCTTTGTGCCCATTAACTGTGGCGCCGTAAAGGCAGAGTGTAAGAGCTCCTTTAATTCCTCCTAACTGCTGCCACATGGACACACACCTCACCTCACCAGTCTGTTTTTATTATTGTTATATTATTATTTTGTTTTTGTATCTCCCGCCCCAGTTCCAATAAAGACTGCCTGTCCTCATCCTGAGTTTGACCATCGTTTCATTTGTGCCTTTTTCACTCTTTTGTTGAATCCATTGAATGTTGCACAAACTCATTCACACACGTCACAGAGTCTGAGCCAGCTTCATGTAGACGGAGAATGTATCTGAATAAAGCTCCATTTGCACTGCTCCCCCCTAGGGCCGCACTAGATTGGAAAAAAAATTGCGATATAGCTGTTAAACTGCAATTTTAATGAGATTGCAGTGTTTAATATGTATATAATATAATCATTTCAGTTGTAATAAACCAAAAAAAAAACATGCTTTAATTTTCTAGTGAAATTCAATCAAAATAATCACGTAAATCAAGACTAATTTTGGTCTTATTAAGGAAAATCATTCAAAAAGTCAGCTTTATTTAACATAATCATTAAAACAAACTGTTTTTTTATCAGGTGGAGAAACCTGGTGTTATTATGATTTATTTAAAGGCCTTTGTTACACTCTTTTCTGGTCTGTGTTATGTTTCCTTATCAAAAACAAACCTGGAGTTGTTTTGTTTCATTCACACATGTCACATTTGGACTATTTTCTTTTGTCAAACAGAAAACACTGTTCCACCTTGTGATGTCATGTGGTAATCAGGGTTCCCACGGTCATGGAAATCCTGGAAAAGTCATGGAAATTGAAAATTACATTTTCTAGGCCTGGAAAAGTCCTGGAATGTTAGTATCTCTTTCACACAACTACAGCGTTCTGTTAAGTTCTCATTAGACTGTTATGATTATTTCTGAACGTCTGCACCTTTTATTTAAAAGAGATGACAATAAATGCACTTAAAAAAACTATAAAACCAAACCATAAGGTGGAAAAGTGTTAACATTTCATATTATATTTATCATATATATCATATTTGATCAATTGTACAAATGTAGGTGCAGTAAAGTCATGGAAAATTCACTTTTAAATAACGAAAGTCATGGAAAAGTTTTGGAATTTTGTCAGTGAAACATTGTGGGAACCCTGGGTAACACAGGAAGTGCTCCACTGTGTTTGTAAACTGTATATATTTGCACCAGAATCATTTGGGTTATTCAAGCCGTGACATTGCCAATCTCTACTGAACTAAAGGTAAAAAGAAGCTGTTAACTTGAAAACTGTACTTTCATGACATCACAAGGTGGAGCAGAGCATTTTGAGCTTTGCAGATGTAGACAAACTTAATTAAGAATTATTTCAAAATGTGTGAATGAAACAAAACACAACTCCAGGTCTGTTTTTGAGGAGGCAACAACATTATAACATGACTTCAAACTGTAATATAGAGGCTTTAAGTTTTTTTCAATACTGATTATTGCACAGAGCTTTAGTAGATACAGTAGTTGTATTGTGCAGCCCTACGCCCCCTGCTGGAGGATTTAGGATCTTTCCCTTGGACAGACTGTTACTGCTGTGTGTGAGCTTTAGATTCATTGTAATTATACTTGAATGAATTTGTGGGTTAAGACTGAGAAAAGAGAGACTGTAGAGTATCCCTTAGAGCGACTATCAAAGATCAAAGTTGCAATTCCTCGTGTTTTAGTTCATCCGATTATGACTAGACTCCGTGTTGTGTGTTGTAGATTCAGGTCTGTTTCATAAAAGCGCCAGGATCAGTCTAATTTTGTGTATTTGTTTTGCCAGCACCTTATTGTACAGTGATATAAACTGCTACCAAAGATACTAGTTTAATACTTTAATTAAAACACAACTGTAGTGATCAAATATATTTTTAAAGTCTCAAATCACTTTACTTTAACTTTACTTTTCACTTTATTGTAAGAGAATTTTGTGTTAGGGAGGGCATCTGATGTAAAACTGCAAATAAAGAGACCTAACATTGGAGATTATTTCAGTATAGTTCAATATAGTGATAAACATTGGACTTTTTAAAAAAACAATCAAATAATACCCGATATCTCTCTAAAACGTGACTTCTTGGATGTTACAGTTAGGAATATTCTGATTTATTAAATTTTTTTAACCGATACCTATACTGATATTCGATTACACATCTTAATTGCTCTTTTATTTCCATTTTTACTCATAAGTCTGATCAAAAAGACAAATCTGATGCACTATGGACAAACTGGGACTGAGATAGCTTATTAAAAATATATATTTTGGTCCCAAATATCTTCAAAATTTTAAATATCAAACAGCAGACCGATACTGATACCTGGAAAAACCCCATAGATATTCAATCCAATCTGATCCATCTTTATTTGTACAGCACATTTTATAAACAAGACCGTTTCCAAAGTGCTTTACATAGGAATATAAACCATTTTACTTTGGGAAAAAAAACAAAAAAAAATCAGCAGATTATTATGTTCCAACCAAGAGGAAACTAATAGAATCAATAAATAAAATAATAAAAATAAAATCAATGAAAAAAATAGTAAAATCAATACATAAAAGCAGTACTAAAAAAAAAAAAAAAATGCAGAATTATGTTCCAACCAAGAGGAAACTAATAGACTCAATAAATAAAATAATAATAATAAAATCAATGAACAAAAATAGTAAAATCAATACATAAAAGCAGTACTGAGGGAGAAAAAAAAGATAAAAACAATAAATATGACTGATATTGCAACAGCACATCCCTGATTAAAATTAAACTGGCAGCATGTGGCTTCATAATATTTATTTTAGCTGGATTTGTATTTTGTTCATCTGTTTTAAATGTAATAGGCTGATATAATGTTGTGATTGATATTGTTAATATAAATCCAGTAATATAACAGGACCACAATTTATTATAACACATGTTTGTCACTCATGGATCTGGTCGAGACTAACTTTATAAAGAAAAAAATAGATGAGATAATATAAGAAGACAAAACAGCAACTAGTCTGGAGATTAAAAATAAAATGTTTGGCAAAAATGTAATCTATTCTAAAAAAAATATACAGAAAATAATAATAAAACATCCTATCATTCTGTGAAAAATGACTTTACTCTGTTGAACCCGGCTGTTTACTTGTGAGCTTGGAGAGTCTATTGTGAGTTGCCATGGCCATGAAAAGCTCCACAGCTCCACTGAAGGAGTCCTTAATGAAAAAAACATGACCTTTGACCCCTTTAACCTTTTACCTTTGCCACAAATTAACCAAAATACGAACAACACCGAATACAGCCCATAGTATTTGTGGTATGCAGGTCCATCTAGTTAAGATTTTCGTCTTGAAATGTGAAAAATGATGAAAATTTGTTCTTTTAAAAAAAATTATATTTAACTCACAACGGGCGAGTTTAGTTTACGATATTTCCAACAGTTTCTCTTTTTTGAATGGTAGGGCCAAATTTAATATTAAAGCTGCTCTGTGGATGTTTGTCTCCATGGAGATGTTATGGCTTTTACCTGGAATCTTCCATGTATGACTTTTAACTTTATTTGTTCGATTGTTTTGTTACTTTGAAAGACATGCTTTCTTACTTTATGTGCTGTCACCTTTCCAACCTGACCTTAGACTTGGCCTGGAGGCGTCACTAGTTCGACTGTGCCCACGCTCGACACACGTACCGCACTTTAGAGCCTTTCTAAAGTCTTTAGACAAATGTTATTGCTCCACAAGGGAAATTATTTGAACACAGTAGCTCACACATCACAATATAATATTTAACTAATATCCCTAATCATTTTCACTATCATAGGTTAATACAGGGATGTCCAAAGTGGGGCACATGGGCCAAACGTAGTCCTCCAGGTGGTCTGATTTGGCCCAAAGAGGCTCTGAAATTTTAAGAATGATCTATTTTGATAAATTTTGTATTGAAAAGGCAGACAGGATGGGCCTCCTTCCCTTGCCTGATTCATCTGCCGGTTTCACTTCGTAGAAACTGTCTGACCTCTCAGCATTAGGATTCGTTCGCTCGATGGTAGGCGGGTACTTTTTTTATTTAACCAATCGCTGCTATTTGGTCGTGACGTATGTAATGTGCCAAAACCTGTAGGAAGAAGGGCAATAATATCTTTCCCATTGATAAAATTCATCAAACATTCTCTTTGTTTTGGCTTTAAATCCTCGATCTTTGGAATCGTTGCCAACTCGCACTTCCGAGGTTCTTGCAAATCGTCTTTTGTATTCAGATTCCAGACCTAGTTGCTAGAGAGAAATTAAGTGGAGGCAGTAGGTGGTGCCACCCTGACTACTCCTTCCCAGCTCCAATTTCCAAATATTTAAAGTAAATTTAATCAAAAATGTCTTTTTTCTTTTTCTTTTTTATGTGCCAAATGTCGTTAGGTTTGGCCCCCGACCTGTACATTCTTTTTTGTTCCCCTGTGTTAAAACAATAGCAAAACATAGACTGATCCATGTTGCTTTGTGAAACAGAAACCCACTAACCGTACTGACTGTAGGATTACTGAAGTCCATACCTCCTTTAACTCTTTTGTCTTTTCTAACAAGTGCTCTAACCCACTGATCAGGCATAACATGGCTTAGTTGTGTGATCTATTGGAGAGCAAGGGGACATTTTGTACAGATTTAATATTAATAACTGAGTTTGAACTTGGCTAAATTAGTGGCAAGAACTGTTTGTCGTCATGATCTCAAATTGAGTATTGAGGTCTGTAACTCTATGGGCAATCAAGGCACTTTCTTATTTTATTCTAGGCTGTCCAAACTGAAAAATGTTGATCCATTATTAAGTCATTCAAGTAGTTTCACTTGACACTTGATGATGATGTTTTACTTTGCTAGTTGTCATTTCATATGGTCAGGCCCCGTAATACATGCATCCTGAATTTCGGACTTCCGGTCATTGCGCAATGCTTACTGGGAAGGATTTTCTAAAAAAGTGAGCATCAAATCGCCATGTTTGATTTCTCTCTTATTGTCAAAGTCGATCTTTTCAAGTTCTTTTGAACCATATCGCTTTTGTTTCTGGTTCTGATATTGTCATATTTTAGTTTGGGGAATTGGACATCGTAATAGTGTGGTTGTTGGATGTTGGAAGAAATGAGCTTCGGAAGTTTGCGAACTTCATAACTGCAAAAGGGAATCAGATGTGTGCGATTGCAAACCTCTGTTCAAACAGTTTCCCTTCCCAACGGAATTGAAAAATAGTGAAAGGTGAAGGCGATGAGCAGGACTGATACACAGGAAGGACGAAAAATGAAACCTTTGGCTGCCTAAGAAATCATCCCGAGTTTACAGCGAACATTTTGTATGTGGAGCGCCAACAAAGCAGGATCCCGTTTGTTAAGTGAGAGGTGCAGAAGACAAACAGACTGAGCTGCACTTTCTTGTTCTTGTGGTTTTACAGCAACGTCCCGAGTCTTGGTCGCTTTGCAGTGGAAGGTGTTTCTTGGTGAACAACTGGTGCCTTTCACTTTGGCGTTGACTTTTTAAATTCATAACCAAGGTTGAGCGAGGGATCAGGATTTTGCTTTGATGGCGCTCCACATACAAAATGTTCGCTGCAAACTCGGGATGATTTCTTAGGCAGCCAGAGGTTTCCTTTTTCATCCTTCCTGTGGATCAATCCTGCCCATCGCCTTTCACCTTTCACTATTTTTCAATTCTGTTGGGAAGGGAAACAGTTTGAACAGAGGTTTGCAGTCACACACATCTGATTCCCTTTTTGCAGTTATGGAGTTCGCAAACTTCCAAAGCCCGTTTCTTGAGCCATTTTCTGCTGTTAGGATCCAACAACCACACAATTACGATGTCTGAATCCCAAAACTAAAATATGACAATATCAGAACCAGAAACAAAAGCGATATGGTTCAAAAGACTTGAAAAGATCGGCTTTGTCAATAGACACATCCCACTGGGAAATCAAACATGGCGATTTGATGCTCACTTTTTCGGAGGATCCTTCCCAGCATGCATTGCACGATGACCGGAAGTCCGAAATATTTGGAATTCATGTATTACAGAGATATTAACCTTAAACCAGCTCAAATAATCTGCAGTCTGACTATTGGTAGTTTAGCGTCTGTGTATCATGTGAACACAACTTATACCCAAATTGTCGAAGATAGACTCGCCTGTGTAACTTTTCTGTTGCTTGTTTCTATGGAGATGTCATTGCTTTGCTTGGAATGTCCCACAGTATGGCTTTACATTTTTATCTGTGTCTAAAAAATGCTAAAAATATAAGACTTTTTTACTGTTCGGTGCCGTCACCTGCTTGTCTACATGAGATATTTGAGTTTAAAGCCATACTGTGGGAAATTATAGACACTTAGTTACAGTACATCTCCATGGAGACAAGCAGTTGGCGTAACCCGAAACAGAAAAGCGACGTAGCGCAGCTTTAATGCTTAAGTTTAGTCCGTATTCCACTGCAGTAAGTTAAAAAATAAAATGGAGCTCGGTAGTTTTAATGTTCTGACTGATCTGTGTTTGTCTCCACCTCATCTTTCTACCTCTGTGTTTCTTTTCATTGCCGTGTGAATGTGTGTCAATAAAGTTGCATTGAAAGCATCTCCTCTGCGTCTTGTCCGTCATTTGTCTTGTCTCTGGTCCATCGGATGCCCCGCCACACCCGTCATGTTAAAACCTCCAGTGTTAAAGCCTGATTTTGAATGGGTTTCGTTTGGGATGTGCATGACGGCATGATATGTGAATGTGCATGGTTAAGGGCACCATTTCATCCATCCAAGTAAGTTATTTTTCAACATTTTCTAGTTATTTTTTCCAGTCGATTTCCAACACACATTAATGAGAAATCGGAAAATTGTCAAATAAAACTGTGCTATAATACTTTAAGATTTGCAAAAGGAGCAGAATATTGTATCCTACCGTTTAAAGAAGCGCTCTGTAACTTTTCTGGTCCATGGTTTGCCAACTCCTTGTTTCTATGGACATGTTATTATTGCCTGGCCAGGAATGTTCCACAGTATGGCATTTAACATCTATCCAGCAAATTCATTACGCCGCAGGACTGTCAAAGCCAAAATCACAAAGAGACGAAATAAAAAACTGGGATTAAGTCGTGGGCCAAACTAAATATTTACTGAACAATTTCCACAACATCTGCGTGTTTTCTCTTCTTTCGAGATATGTAATGTTAAATCTTTTCGAGAAAAATCCCGCACACCGTCTTACTTGCAAATTGTGAGATTTATTAGGACAAAATCTCACCATTTGCAAGTAAAACGGTGTGTGGGATTTTTCTCGATGTTCTTGGGCTGCTCCCTCTCCTCCGACGCACTCGTCTCAAGTAATTGATGTGCAAAGTTCTCATTCTTTTAAAACTTTTCTTATTAAAATAAATGTTTAATAATAATTTAGCTTAAACATTGAATCCAGAACAAGAAAAAAAAAATTAAATAAATAATGTATCTATAGTCTATCTTTAGCCGGCGGGTCTAAGACATACTTAATATGATCTTGCTGGCCAAATTTGGTCCCCGGGCCTGAGTTTGACATGTCTGTATGTGTCGTAGTCCTGGTTTAGTTCTGGTTTAGCCCTGTCTTAGTCCTGGTTTAGTTCTGTCGTAGTCCTGGTTTAGTCCTGTCTAGTCCTGGTTTAGTCCTGTCGTAGTCCTGGTTTAGTCCTGTCTTAGTCCTGGTTTAGTTCTGTCATTGTCCTGGTTTAGCCCTGTTGCAGTCCTGGTTTAGTTCTGTTTTAGTCCTGGTTTAGGCCTGTCGTAGTCTCGGTTTAGTCCTGTCTTAGTCTCGGTTTAGTCCTGTCGTAGTCCTGGTTTAGTCCTGTCCTAGTCCTGGTTTAGCCCTGTCGCAGTCCTGGTTTAGCCCTGTCTTAGTCCTGGTTAAGTCCTGTCTTAGTCCTGGTTTAGTTCCTGTCCTGTAGTCCTGGTTTAGTCCCCTGTCGTTAGTCCTGGTTTAGCCCTGTCTTAGTCTCAGTTTAGTCCTGTCTTAGTCCTGGTTTAGTCCTGTCTAGTCTGTTTAGCCCCTGTCCAGTCCTGTTTAGTCCTGTCTTAGTCCTGGTTTAGTTCTGTCTTAGTCCTGGTTTAGTTCTGTCTTAGTCCTGGTTTAGTCCTGTCTTAGTCCTGGTTTAGTCCTGTCTTAGTCCTGGTTTAGTTCTGTCTTAGTCCTGGTTTAGCCCTGTCTTAGTCCTGGTTTAGTTCTGTCATAGTCCTGGTTTAGTCCTGTCTTAGTCCTTATTTAGACCTGGTGTAGTCCTGGTTTAGTCCTGTCTTTGTCCTGGTTTCTCTGCGTTTTCTCGCAGGCAGCTCTAACACCTATTCTGATATAATCTCGTGGGCCAAATATATTTATATCACGGGCCAAATTTTGGTCCCTGGGCCTGAGTTTGACATGTCTGCATTATGGCTTCAGAATTGTTCGAAACTTCCTTGAAAAACAGTAAAGTGATAAAGTGATGTGGCCTGGAGATATTAATAATGCCATACTGTGGAACATTCTAAAGTTATGTAGTGTAGTTTAAAAAAAAAAACAAAAAGAAACATGCCATTCATCCAGAACATCATGTTTTTATCATTTAATAACTTTAATATGTTACATTACAATAATATTTCATGGACGTCTGTAGGTAGTTTAACACATTTGACTGAATTTTCTGTCCATCTTTTCCATGTTTAAAAGTTCTCTGTAGTTCTTCTTCAGCACTAAACCTTGTATGTGTTTGTCATGCACACGTGTGTCCTGTAGGGGGCGACACACTGGGCCTGTGGTTGGTTACACTGATGTTTATGTTTGATGATAGATATGTTGAGGGCGTCTGAAGGACAGGGGATGCGCCTGCCCAAGATCAGAGCCGCACAGAGGAGTACGCTCACCAGTATACTGCAGTTTCTAGGTAAATACTACTACTACGACTACTACTTCTAATATGACTACTACTATATCTACTACTACTACTACTACTGCTACTGCTACTATGACTACCACTATGACTACTATTACTAGTACTACTGCTATTACGGCTACTACGGCTTTAAGAAAAACTACTACAATTACTATTACTACGACTACTACTACTACCACTCCCACCACCACTACTACTACTACTAATACTACTACTATTACTGCTATTGCGGCTACTACGGCTTTAAGAATAACTTCTACAATTACTACTACTACGACTACTACTACTACCACTCCCACTACTACTAATACTACTACTATTACTGCTATTACGGCTTTAATAATAACTACTACAATTACTACTACTACTACGACTACTACCACTACCACCATCACTACTACTACTACTATTACTGCTATTACGGCAACTACGGCTTTAAGAATAACTACTACAATTACTACTACTACTACTACTACCATTACTGCTACTGTTACCACTCCTACCACTACTACTACTATTACTGCTACTACTACTACTACTACAACTACCACTTTACTGGTAGTTTAAACGTGTTACCTAGTTTAAACCTAGATTTAGGTCTGGTTAAGTCTTGAATTAGAACTCATTTAGGCCTGATATAGTCTAGGTTTAGTCCTCATTCAGTACTTGTTTGTAGTCCTAGTTTAGACCTGGATTAGTTCTTCTTTAGTCCTGATTCATTGCTATTATATCATAGTTTAGACCTGCTTTTGACCTTGTTCAGTCTTGCTTGAGTCCTGGTTTAGTCCCAGTTTAGTCCTGGTTTAGTCCTGGTTTACTCCCGGTTTAGACATGGTTTAGTCTTGCTTGAGTCCTGGTTTAGACCTGGTTTAGTCCCGGTTTAGTCCCGGTTTAGTCCTGGTTTAGTTCTGGTTTAGTCCCAGTTTAGACCTGGTTTAGTCTTGCCTGAGTCTTGGTTTAGACCTGGTTTAGATCTGGTTTAGATCTAGTTTAGTCCTGGTTTAGACCTGGTTTAGTCTTGCTTGAGTCCTGGTTTAGACCTGGTTTAGACCTGGTTTAGACCTGGTTTATTGGCGGAGTCTTGGTTTATAGATTAGAATAACTGCATTTGTCTCCGTTGTCATATTTAAAATCATTGTATTGTTTTATGTATTTATTAAGTCTGTGTTTTTGGTCTCAGAGTCCCGTCCTGCGACTCAGGTCCCTCGCTCTCACCGCACCCCAGGGCTCCAGACGCCCCGCCCCGGCGCCTCCTCTCCTCTCTGCCCCACGGCACGCACGGCATGCTGGGAAAACGCAGCTTCCACCATCACAGCCGCACCGACCCCGAGAGACGCTCAGGTAACGGAAAAGAAACAATAAAAAAGACCAGAGTGAATGTGAGACATGTTTTGTTCCTGGTTTAGGTCTGGTTTAGACTTGGTTTAATGATGAGTTAGATTGGTTTTAGTCCTGGTTTAGACCTAATTTTGTCTGTTTGTTTTATTTCTGGTTTCGACACTGTTAAGTCCTTTTTTAGTCCAGATTTAGACTTGTCCTCTTTAAGTCTTATCAGTCCTGGTTTATACTTGTTTAGTCCAGGATTATTCCTGATTTATTCCTGATTTTATACAGACTCATTACTAGTTTTGTCCTGACTAAGACTTGGTTTAGTCCTGGTTTATTCCTGGTGTAGTCATGGTTTAGTCTGGGTTTAGCCCTGGCTCAGTCCTTATTTAGACCTGGTTTAGTCCTGTCTTAGTCCTGGTTCAGCCCTGTCTTAGACCTGGTTTAGTCCTGTCTTAATCCTGATTTAGCCCTGGTTTAGTCCTTGTTTTAGACCTGGTTGAGCCCTCTCTTAGTCTCGGTTTAGTCCTGTCTTAGACCTGGTTTAATCCTGTTGTAGTCCTGGTTTAGTTCTGTCTTAGTCATGTTTTAGTCCTTATTTAGACCTGGTTTAGTTCTGGTTTAGCCTTGTCTTGGTCCTGGTTTAGTCCTGGTAGTCCTGGTTTAGTTCTGTTTTAATCCTGTTTTAGTCCTTTTTTAGTCCTGGTTTAGTTCTGTTTTAATCCTGTTTTAGTCCTTTTTTAGTCCTGGTTTAGTCCTGTCGTAGTCCTGGTTTAGCCCTGTCTTAGTCTCAGTTTAGTCCTGTCTTAGACCTGGTTTAGTTCTGTCTTAGTCATTATTTAGACTTGGTTTAGACCTCACTTAGCTCTCTCTTAGTCCTGGTTTAGTTCTGTCGTAGTCCTGGTTTAGCCCTGTCTTAGTCTCCTTTTAGTCCTGTCATAGTCCTGGTTTAGTTCTGTCTTAATTCTGGTTTAGCCCTGTTGTAGTCCTGGTTTAGTTCTGTCTTAGTCCTTATTTAGACCTGGTTTAGTTCTGGTTTAGCCCTGTCTTGGTCCTGGTTTAGTCCTGTCATAGTCCTGGTTTAGTTCTGTTTTAATCCTGTCTTAGTTCTTATTTAGTCCTGATTTAGTCCTGTCGTAGTCCTGGTTTAGCCCTGTCTTAGTCTCAGTTTAGTCCTGTCTTAGTCCTTATTTAGAACTGGTTTAGTCCTGATTTAGTTCTTAGTCATGTCTTAGTCCTTATTTAGACCTGGTTTAGTTCTGTCTTAGTCATGTTCTAGTCCTTATTTAGACCTGGTTTAGTCCTTATTTAGTTCTTAGTCATGTCTTAGTCCTGGTTTAGTCCTGGTTTAGTCCTGACTGAGGAGTTCTAAACAGAACCAGAGAAGGAAGACTAAATCTGAAGTGCATTTTCAGCGCTCTAAAGGCTTCCATCACCACGACACACGGCTCAATAACTTTGAACATTTAATTAAATTGAGCCTGAAAGTAGATAATCGCTTTTCTCCAACGCTCCAAACAAATTAAAATTACCTCAAATTAAATGAACAAGAACCAAGCTCTTTAGAAACCCTGAGGACTTTAATTTCGCTTTTCAGGATTTAGCAAAGTTTGTCCTTGAGAAAAAAAAAAAAAACGTGTGAAAAATATTTGATTGAATGACACCGAAGATCAATAAATCAATCAGAATCGCTTTATTTTTCTCTGTGAAGCCCAAATAAACATCTCAGTGCAGCTCAACAGATCAAGTGTCAGGGCAATTTGAGGAGAGTAACATCCCTCAGGACATAAGGGTCTGTCTTAAAGCACACAACACAAAAGACACTCTCACTTTGATTAGACAGGCCAGTCCCCCGTCCCCAGTCAGGACAAAACCAGGTCTAAATAAGGACTAAGACATGAGTAAGACAAAACTAAATCAGGACTAAGACGTGAATAAACCAGGACTAAACCAGGTCTAAATACGGACTAAGATATGACTAAGACAGAACTAAATCAAGACTATGACAGGGCTAAACCAGGACTAAACCAGGTCTAAATAAGGACAAAAACAAAACATCTACTTTATTTGGTGTAGAAAATCTGTTGCATTGTTGTTAAAAGTAAAAGTAGAAGGTTAGCATAGTTAGCTTCATTCGGGGTTGCTATGGAAACGGGAAAAACAAGCTGCTCAAATCCCACAATCCAATAGTCGTAAATACATGTATTCTGAATTTCGGACTTCCGGTCATCGTGCAATACATACTGCTAAGGATCCTCCGAAAAAGTGAGCATCAAATCGCCATGTTTGATTTCCCAGTGGGATGCGTCTGTTGACAAAGTCGATCTTTTCAAGTCTTTTGAACCATATCACTTTTGTTTCTGGTTCTGATATTGTCATATTTTAGTTTTGGGATTCGGACATTGTAATTATGTGGTTGCTGGATCCTAACAGTGGAAAACGGCTCGAGAAATGGGCTTTGGCAGTTTGCAAACTCCATAACTGCAAAAGGGAATCAGATGTCTGTGACTGCAAACCTCTGTTCAAACTGTTTCCCAACGGAATTAAAACATAGTGAAAGGCGAAGGCGATGGGCAGGATTGATCCACAGGAAAGACGAAAAAGGAAACCTTTGACTGCTTAAGAAATCATCCCGAGTTTGCAGCGAACATTTTGTATGTGGAGCTCCAACAAAGCAAAATCCCGATCCCTCACTCAGCCTTGGTTACGAATTTAAAAAGCCAACACCAAAGCGAAAGGCACCAACTCTTCACCAAGAAACAACTTCCACTGCAAAGCGACCATGACGTGATGTTGCTGTAGAGCCACAAGAACAAGAAAGTGCGAGCTCAGTCTGTTTGTCTTCTGCACCTCTCACTTAACAAACGGGATTTTGCTTTGATGGTGCTCCACATACAAACTCGGGTTGATTTCTTTTTACCTTTTTTGGTCCTTCCTGTGTATTAATCCTGCCCATCGCCTTCGCCTTTCTGGGAAGGGAAACAGTTTGAACGGAGGTTTGCAGTCACACACATCTGATTCACTTTTGCATTTATGGAGTTCGCAAACTTCCGGAGCCCATTTCTTAAGCCGTTTTCCGCTGTTAGGACATTCAACAACCACACACTTACAATGTTTGAATCCCATAACTCAAATATGACAATATCAGAACCAGAAACAAAAGCGATATGGTTCAAAAGACTAGAAAAGATCGACTTTGAGAATAGACACATCCCACTGGGAAATCAAACATGGCGATTTGATGCTCACTTTTTCGGAGGATCCTTCCCAGTATGTATTGCGCAATGACCGGAAGTCTGAAATTCAGGATGCATGTATTTCTGTCCTTTGAACTGTACAAGCTGCACTTCTTACTTGGTCAAAATCCCAAAATGTTAAGTTAAAATTTAAGATAGATTTTTAAAAACTGCTCAGTGTTTCAGTCACAGCATTGAATTAGCAGCTTTAAAACATGTTATTACTACATAAAAAGGGTTGCATTTTGACTTTTAAAGATATTACACAAGCCATATCCTAGCTATTTTTTCTCCTTTGACATTGTTATATTTATTTTATTTCCACAAAACGTGTCGAATTTTCACGTAAAACCGAAGAAAAGGGGCCGTTTACACAACAATGCATTTTGCGCCAAACAAATTTTCTCTTGCGGATTGGCTTTTTGTATTCGTAAATTTCAAAATTTTCAAGTTTTTTCAGTTTTCGTTAACAGCCCTGTCTCTTACCGCTGACTGCGCAGACTGACTGAGGCAACATTTGACAAATACGGTGATTATACTTCCTATATTAATTATTTATAATACCTTCATTTAGCCTACAATATTTTTTACGCCTCAGTTGTAAAATGAAAAACGTCAGCATTTTGTAATTTGCTTTGTTGTAAAAAACGGCCCCTTTGCTTAACTTGTTTTACGGATGTACTCAAAGCATCATTAGCGTAAACTAGAAATACACTTTTTACTACACAGGGACATTACTACTGATGCAGGCGAGCTAATTTATGCTAATTACCGAAGAATTGCTACGGCTAATGTACCACCTGTCTGTTGTTGTTTTTACGTTCACTGAGTATACACTAAATATTAGCCCAGCTGTAGTTTGCTTTTTGCCAATATTTAATTTAGCAGAAAAGGATTAATTAACTAAATGTTGTTTTGTTGTTGCAGAAAATCCAAGTACAACAGGAGGACCTCTGGTATGTAACGCCAATATTTATTATTATTATTATTATTATGCTAAACATGACATTTTGGAGGCTTTTAATAATGATTATGTTATGTTGTTGTATTTATGTGGTTAATATGCATAGAGTTTTTCACTCAAACAGGAGAAATAATGCATAGAGTAATGTTAAAGGTGTAACTTTTCAATTGGGGGTCTGTCACCGGCTTGTTTCTGTCACGCAGGTAAACTGGACTCCAACGCAACACAAAACGTACATGCAAACATAGTCTTAGCTCAATAACAGATATGGCGAATCAGATTGAAAAACAACAAAGCAATATATGATTTATTTAATGTGAACTAAAATATCTAGGTAGAAAATGGGCTGGGAATAAACTCAAACAGGTACTACAAAAAGAGAAAAATTAAAAAACAGAATTGCACAAAATGAAAACAAGAGAATGCAGGTTCAGAGTTTCAGATAAAGAACTTGAGTGTCTATCTTGACAGGTCAACAATCCAGCAAAGACTGAATGAACAAGGACGACCCTGGGATGATTAGGGAATGAGAGGACCCAGAACAGACTGGGAAACAAAGCTGGACTAGGGAAAACAAAAGGCAAAACTGTGACAGTTTCTATGAATATTCCATTGCTCTGCCTGGAATGTCCCACAGTATGACATTAAGCAGCTCGACCTTACATTTATTCAATTACAGGTGGTTTTATAGCTCAAAAAAACCCAAAACAAAACAGGTATTCTGACTGTGAGTGGGGTCGCCTCTCCACAGATCTCACCTGTAACTTGGTCAGGATTGGTCTCCATGAAGATAGAAAGGTTTAATACCACCAGGAAGTAAAGGGCTGGAGATGAGCTGGATGTCTTAAGCAGGAGATGTTTATTTACAATCAATAAACGTCAACATAGTGTGATCTTTGAGTGTTCAAGCCCCTTTGACTCTGCTTCCAACGGAGAAGGTTTATAAAGCAAATGTGGTGAGACTACGAAGGCCAGTAGGCACCAGTTAGTCAGCAATATGCCACAATGGTAGCCAGGCTGGTGCCACCTAGTGCCTCGGCTCAATTTCATTTCTCTCCAGCGACTAGGTCAGAAATCAGAATACACTAGATGGTTTGGAAGAACCCGGAAGTGCAAGTTCGAGCACCAGCCAATCAGTGAAGAGTCAGACATTCAGTGTTGGCAAAGATTCCCGAGATCGAGGATTTAAAGCTGGAACAAAGAGAATGTTTGGTGAATTTTATCAAGAGGAAAGACGTTATTGCTCTTCTTCCTACAGGATTTGGGAAAAGCTTAATATACTAATAAAAAAATACCCACCTACCATCGAGCGAATGAATCCTGATGCTGCAAGGTCAAACAGTTTCCACAAAGTGAAACTGGCTGATGAATCAGGCTATGCTAATGGTGTGCCAAGAGAAGATCATGGTGTAAATATTGCCTTTGTAAGTCAATGTAATTTACTGTGAGATGTAAATGGAGGATAAATTACTTAAATTCTCTTACACGTACTGTGAAACATTCCAGCAAAGCAATAACCATGAAGACAAGCGTTTGACGGACCCTCCACCAGAAAAGTTACACAGTAGTGGAGAAGTAGACAGAGTAAATATCTTTTATTTATGTGTGAATGAATTAAACACAACTCCTGGTGGGTTTTTGTTACCTGGACAGAGTAATTTGCATAGCATTCTGGGTAGAGTATCACACATTATCCATCTGGAACTACTCCCGTTGTACGTTTGTATTCAGCTTCATACTTCCAAGCAAGCAGATAACTCAAACTTACGCTTAAAGTGTAACTAAACACGACATCAAGTCTCTTTTATTGGCCTTCTCCAATGTTTCTGATTAGTTTTTTTCAACTTGAGGGCAAACTTTAGATCTAAAACCCGCCCAGAACCAGGAGCGGAACCTTGAACCTTCTTACTCTTACTTCTAACTACTAAACCACCAGACCCCGCCCCTCCTCTTCCCTCATCTCTCTTTTGGTCTGATTGAAAAAAGAAGATTTGGTTTACTTTTATTTCATCCATCTATTTACATTTTCGTCCACATTTGTTTATCTTCTCTTCTTTGTCTCACATGTGGGTGTTTTTTGCAGCACAACGGGCGCAGCAGCTCCAGCGGAAACACCAGAGGAGGAGTCATGATCCGTAAGAGGCGTCCCAACTGGATCGACGCGCCGGACGACAGCTTTTTCCTCGTCACCAGGGAAACCAGGTGAGCTCCGGGCATCTGACCAATCAGTTGTGAGCGAGTTGGTCATGTGACGTGAGCTGTGAATAAACTGCGACTACTGTGCAAGCATTGATTGAAACATGTCAATAAAAGTAAAAAGACAATGACGATGTGAGTGAATGGTTTGTGACATTTATTTATTTCATTTTTTTTTTTTCATTTATGTATTTATTTTTGGTAAGCAATTTACATTCTTTTACAATGGAACAGAGTTGTATCCGTATGACATTCAATCAGAACATAAAGAACAAAAGAACAAAAAAACTGCCCAGAAGCGAGTGGGAAGAAGAAAACTTATTTAATCCCACCCCTTCTTCTAATTTAACATAATGAGCTTTCTTTTGCATTCTTCACACATTTTACATTAAACCATATGAACTATTTACATGTGAGGACCATCGATCTATAATAAAACCTGGATAAGACATTCCCCGTCTGTCCAAGCTCGAGACCGACTAGTGGCCGCTCCAAGTATTGCAGCTCCTGGGAGCTTGGGCCCACAAAGAATTCTCCCGTAGAGCGCAATGCATTTTTTGGGAATTTCAAACTGCTCGTGTTCGGCTGACAGGGCATCCACAACTTTCAGAAAGGTCGGATTTTGTAGGGATTCTTTTCTATTTTCAGAACATAAACTTTTTAACATGTTCAAATCCTCTGAGCCCACTCTGAGCCAACTCTAGCTCCGCTCTAGCAGGTCTTACTCTGATTGGCTCAAACGCTCCACATTACAGACGTTACGGATGAGAGGAGCTCGCCCGTGTTAAGGAATTAAATGCGTATATATAGTAAATGAAACTTTTTTTGGGCCTATGCGCCAATGAGCACTAACCAGACTGGTGCCACCTTGTGCCTTCTCTCAATTTCATTTCTCTCCAGTGACTAGGCAGGAGTCAGAATACACTACACGGCCATAAGCTTATGAATAAAATAACCCAAAACACGCTACATATGTCTCCAAGAAGAACAGTTGATAGTCGAGGTCAATTAAATATACAATCAATGAACTACACAGGGACGACAGGTGGAAATTAACACTGGTGCAACAACCTGGTACAAAGCATCTCTCCTGTTTAGGTTAATGTAAAAATTGTGCACTGTCCCTGTCTCATTAAATAAATAAACTAAGAATCTCCATAATACTTACAAGCCAAATTACAGGTTAGATCTGTGGAGAGGCGACCCCACTCACAGTAAGAATTTATGTTTTTTAAAGATATTTTTGAGCACTTAAACTTCTGTAGTTGAATAAATGCTAAACTGATTATTTTAATGCCATACTGTGGACAATTTAAACTGAAGCGTTAACATCTCCATGGAGACAAACGGGTTGCGGAGTTACTCAGTGAACCTTTAATCTTTAATAAGTACTTTTTTTTACTGCAAAACAGTATTTTAAAAAAAAACTATTTGCTTATTCAGGTTTTAATATATAACAATATGGAATAAAACATTTACACTTTTTACTCTTTTTAAAAATAATAATAAGTAATGTCTTGTGTATTGCGAGTAGTCTCAGGTCTTGAAATAAGAAGAGATATAGTATTTTTTATATTTTAGTCCTCTTTATCTCAGCCAACATCCTCAGAGGTATAATACTCCCTACAACAGAAGCATAGTAAGACTGGCCTGCACGAGACTGGAATGGACAACACTATCATATCATCATGTTTTGAGGGTTCATTTTAGATCTTAGGTTTAGATCTGGTTCAGTCCTGATTTAGACCTGGTTGGGTTCTGGTTTAGACCCTGTCAAGTGCTGCTCATGACTCCATCTAGTGGCACAATAGAGAAATACCTGCAGATTTAATAACAATAATAATAATAATAATAATATGAGTTTTGCTTTGACCCGTTTGTCTAAGCATTACAATTTGTCAATCTCACTCATATATTTTTATTTATCGACTTTTCACTGCTAATTTTTAACCAGCTTTTAACAAATTAACATTGAGCGTATAATTAACTTCCTGCATTAACATATTCCACCCACGAGCAGGAGCCATTTGGAACAGATAATCTCAACTAAACTCCTCACATAAAACGGTCAGTAAACTTTATCAGGACTTTTGTGTGAATCTCTCGACTCATTTGAGTTCCTCCAGCGTCCACGTCCCTGAAATATTATCAGAGTCTGAGATTACGAGACAGACTTTGTACATCTGCTCAAACTTCTGTAAAATGCAACAAGGACAGAAGAGAAACCGCTGCGGAATATTAATGTAAATGTAAATTATGTCTGAACTGCTATAAAATATACCATTGTGTGTTAAGAAAATGGTCTCCTTGCTTCCTGTGACCAATACAAACATGTTTTATGATTAATTAAAGGGTCTATGTTCTGGTAAATAGAGTTTTTAGAGTGTTAATTAAAGGGTACATTTTTTTCTGATCTGTTATAATGTTGGATTCTCATCAAAAACATACCTGGAGTTGTGTTTTGTTGATGAGGTAACAACTTTATAACATGACTAAAACCTCACAAGACTCAATGTTGCGTGATTAAAAACCTTTAAAGGTGATGTACATGACAAAAAGATGAAAAATATTTCTTCTTCTATGGATTGTAGCTGTGCAAAATGAGTCCTCACTTTCCTAACACATTTCTAATTATTCACTGTGATGAGTTTACTTACCCGCTTCGCAACTTTCAAAGGCCAGAGCAGAGTTTTGCTGTGATGCCACTGCTAACAACAACTAACTAATGCTCATGCTAATAGAACACTTCCTGGTTTGCATACCTGAAAGAGCTTTTGCAATATACCCATCTGTACTGTGGCAAAACTAATTTACATGAGGAAATTGAAGTGTAGTGTACAGAAAGTTTTCAAAACACTTGTTAATTTCAGTAACCTAGTGCCTCTGCTCTATTTAATTTCTCTCCAGCAACTCAGGAATAAGTCACGAGTCAGGAATCGGAAAAAACTGGATGGTTTGTAAGAACCCCGGAAGTGCGGGTTCGGGCATCGGTGAAGAGCCGTACATTCTGTGTTGGCAACAATTCCCGAGATCGAGGATTTAAATCCGGAATAAAGAGAATGTTTGGTGAATTTTATCAAGAGGAAAGATGTTATTGTCCTTCTTCCTGCGGGATTTGGTGCATTACATACTTCACAACCAAATAGCAGCAACTGGTTAAATAAAAAAAGTACCCACCTACCGTCGAGCGAACAAATCCTAATGCTGCGAGGTCAGACGGTTTCCACGAAGTGAAACCAGCTGATGAATCGAGCTATAAAATCAGAGCTAGTTGATCTGATTGGGTTCTGGTTTAGATCTTGAAGGCTGCTCTTGACTCCATCTAGTGGCAAAAAATTGCATAGCTACATTTTGGATATTTATATAATTCTTTTATTAAGATATGATTCATAAACTATTATGTGTTATTCCACATTTTTGGTATTTTGTTCATTTTTGTTCAATTTAAATCAAAAATACTGATCTAAAAAAAATGTAATTATGGAAAGTCCTAAATCCAATGATGTATAAAATTGCGATACTGATTTACGCTTTTTCTTTTGTAATTTTTCAAAGTAAAAGTCATCACAGTAAAGAAGCTCCGTGTTCTTAAACCAATCTGACTTCCCTGCTTATAACTGCTGTTCACAGTATAGTGAGCTGTCAATTTATTTCTTTGTGTATCAGTTTTTGAAGTTTTGGGGTGTAGAAAAAAATATATATCAAAGAATGACCAAAGTACAGAGCAGTGGCTGTGTTTGGAGGCGAGGTGAAAATGGAAGTTTTCAGAGCAATGCCGTCTCAAATTCAGGAAAATAAAGATTACTCAAACACAACTTTAAAGATCCTATATGACGCAAAACTGACTCTTGTGAGCTTTAAGTCATGTTATAATGTTGGTACCTCATCAAAAACAGACCTGGAGTTGTGTTTTGTTTCATTCACACATGTTTGAGTAACTCTTTATTTAGGGCTGGGAATCATTAAAATGTTGCCAATACGATACATACTTCGATACACAGGCCACGATACGATGCATATCTCAAGACAGTGAGCTTTCGATTCGATACGATATATTTCAAATTGATTTGATTCGGTTAAAAAAAATTTAATTGCTAAATCATGGTTGTGACACTAAAAGTCTTTGTTTAACCACTTCTTCTGTAAAGTTCATATGAAACACAAACATTTTAATCCTCAAAATGGTGAAAATGTCAAATGTGTTGCATAAACAAGGGGGCGCCAGTCGCCAGTCATTGTGTCCTTAGGCAAAGCACTTCACCCACATTACCGAGTATGAAAGTGATGTGTGTGTGAGTGATTGGCAGCCTCGCTTCCGTCAGCTTTCCCCAGGGCAGCTGTGGCTACAGTAGTAGTTTACCCCCCCAACTGTGGAGTGAATGAATAAGGAACTGTCTTTGAGTGTCCAGAAAAGCGCTATATAAAACTGATGCATTATTATTATTATTTTTATTATTAAATGAGTTTCCACTAAACAAACAACAAAACTGTAGTGCTGTAACAAAATAATTTAGTAAAATATACCAAAAAATACTCGATATCGATATATCGATAAAGCAGCCCACGATATCGACACTGTATCATCACATTAAACAATACAAGATATCAATATTTTGATATTTTTACACACCTCTACCATTATTATTAGTCTGTCTACATCTCTAAAAATGCTCTTTTCCACTTTGTGATGTCATGAAGCTGTAGTTTTCAAGTTAACAATCTGCCATTTACCTATCTACCAGAGCTAAAATTATCCAAATGATTCTAGTGAAAGTGAATGAAGTTTAAAACACAGTGGATTACCAAATGTGTGAGTGTTTTTCTATTTAAGAGAAAAACTCAGCCTAAAAGAAACAAAACACAACTCCAGGTCTATTTGTGATGAGAAAACAACATTGTAACATAGAAAACAGTGTAATATAATATTGGCTCTTTAAACTCTTAAAAATGGCATAATATGTCCTTTAAAATTGGCCTGGAGACTAACATAATATCATAAATGGAAA